AATCAGGAATCAGGCGAATTGGATTTGAGTGGTATAAGTTTGGATCAAAGTGGTGATGAATGCCCAGAAATGAAAAGTATAGCGCCAACCCCACCATCGTCTGAATTTGAGTCCCTTGCAACTAATATATCTAACCAATCGATTGCCGAGGATGTTCCTGATTTAGTGCCTGAGCCACTCAAAAAATAATTACCACAGCGTCACACTAGAGGTATTCCTAAACCCATATATGAACCCGAACTTTCTAGTAAAGTTAAGTTTCCCATGAGTCATTTATGTGTCGAACCATCGTTTGTTATAATCAAAATTTTCATTTGTAAATCAATTATCTACTGTAAGTTTGGATCAAAATGATGATGAATACCCAGAAATGAAAAGTATGGCGCCAACCCTACTGTCGTTCGGGTTTGAGTCCCTCGCAACTTATATATCAAACCAATTGTCTGCTAAGGATGTTCCTGATTTAGTGCCTGAACCACTCAGAAAACAATTATCACAGCGTCACACTAGAGGTATTTCTAAACCCACATATGAACTCAAATTTTCTAGTAAAGTTAAGTATTTCATGAGTCATTATATGTCGAACCATCGTTTGTTAGAATCAAATTTGTTATTTGTAAATTAATTATCTACTATATCTATTCCTAACAGTGTACAAGAAGCCTTAGTTGACCCTAGGTGGAAAACAGTTATGAAGGATGAAATGAAATCCTTACAGAAAAATAAAACTTGGGAGCTCATTGATCCTCCCAAGAAAGAAACCAGTAGGATGTCGATGGATTTACACTGTGAAGTATAAAGCCGATGGTATAGTTGAATGCTTTAAAGCAAAATTGGTGGCAAAAGGTTACACCCAAACCTATGAAATCGATTACACAGAGTCGTTCACACCTATAGCCAAAATCAACACAGTTCGGGTTTTATCATTTTTAACTGCGAACTTGGATTGACCATTGCAACAATTCGATGTGAAGAATGCCTTTTTGCATGGTGAATTATCTAAAAAAGTCTACATGGATCTCCTACCAGGATGCATGATACCCGAAAAGTATAGTCGGAAGGTCTGCAGGTTAAAGAAATCATTATATGGGTTGAAACAGTCTCCGAGAGCATGGTTTGGAAGATTCACAAAGTTGATGATAGCCTTTGGCTACCTTGAGAGCAATTCAGACTACACATTATTCCTGAAGAAACAACAGGGTAAGATTACTGCACTCATTGTGTATGTAGATGACATGGTGGTTACAGGGAATGATCCTGAAGAAATGAAGGCTCTCAAGAAGTACTTGTCCAGATATTCGAAATGAAAGATCTAAGTCCTTTGAGATATTTTATTGGGATCAAAGTATCTCGATCTAATAAAGGAATCTTTCTATCTCAAAGAAAATATGTCTTAGATCCATTACAAGAAATTGGCATGACAGCATGTCAACCAGCTAAGACATCAGTGGAAGAAGGATTGAAGTTATGTGTTGAGTCCAACCAAGTACCTACTAATAAAGGAAGATACCAAAGACTTGTAAGGAGATTGATGCACTTAGCATACATGAGACCGGATCTGACTTATGCATTGAGCATTGTTAGCCAGTTTATGCATGATCCTGGAGAGCAACATATGAATGAAGTTATGCGCATTTTGAGGTATCTGAAATCTGCTCCTAGAAAAGGAATTTTGTTCACTAAAAATGCTGGTTATTAAAACATAGATGCATATACTGATGCTGACTGGGCTGAAGCTATAGATGATAAGCGATATACTTCTGGTTACTTCACTTTTGTAAGAGGTAATCTTGTTACATGGAGAAGCAAGAAACAAAATGTTGTTGTTCGCTCGAGTGCAGAAGCTGAATTCAGAGGTATGGTGCTTGGACTTTGTGAAACTTTGTGGTTAAGACTTCTTTTGTGGAATTTAAGGTTATCTACCTGGGCAACCGATTCAACTATATTGTGACAATAAAGCAGTATGTGATATTGCCCATAATCCAATTCAACATGATCGTACAAAGCATGTCGAAATAGACAAATTTTTCATTAAGGATAAGTTAGATGGAAAAATTGTAGAGTTGCCTAAGATTCGATCTGAGGATCAACTAGCCGACATTCTCACCAAAGCAGTCTCAAATCAAGTGTTTCCAAAATTTTTAGACAAGTTGGGCATGTGTGACATCTATGCACTAACTTGAGGGGGAGTGTTGAGATTTTACCTCTTGTAATCAGGGATCATACAGATTGTACACTATAGGATTGAATTATTTACTCCTTGATTTAGGACTAATTGGTAGGTAATTAGTTTCCCAGTTATTGTATAATTAGTTACCTATTTTAGCTAAATATTATTCTACAAATTGAATATAACACCATCGTGAATAATATTGTATAGAGTTTTAACTCTCATATTCTTTCTCTGAATTTGAAGAGTTTGTCTTCTTGATGTAACTTTGGAGTATATTTTACAATAAAATAAATATTTCATTTATTATTTAAATAAGGGCAAAAATGGTGTTATATTATTTTTATTCAAAATCCCATTTTAAATCCAATTTGTTCCAAACATATAAATAGAATTTTATTTTAATTTTAATTCCTATTCCAATTCAGATTCATTTTCCAAATCCTAAAATAATTTATTCCAAACAAGACGATAAGGATTACCTTTCATTCAAACATCGAATTCGAAGAATGCTTTATTATTTTATTATTTAATTAAATATTATTATATGAATTATACAATAATATTTTTTTCGTTCCATATTAAATATTTATGTTTAAAAATTAAAATTTTTAAGGAGATATGTAATTAATGTATTGTCCCATTTTAAAATTATCAACTTGTCCTTTTTAGTTTAGATATGTATAATTACTAAGTTTGAAATTTTTTTAAAATATAAAGGGTAATGATGGAAAGATAAGATTTATTTGTTTTGACTTTTCAAAGTTCAAAATGAATAATGTCACAGGGGTAAATTCTGAACACGAATCTAGTAGCCTGTGATGGCACTAAGCCAGAAATATGAAACACTTTTCTCTGAATTTCTAACTTAGCTCAGCCAACTCACACTTGCTGCCTAGAACACACAGCAAGCAAAACACTCCCACACACAAATATAATTGCAAGAATGTAAAGGCAATAACACCCACGAATTTACAGAAACACAAGGCTTCCAACCTTTTACTATTATTCACAAAACAGTACAAGGAAAGGCTTTAACTTGTAGAAGCATACAAGAGTCTCTCATAACACAACTCTGTGTCTCACTCTCAATCTGCCCTCTCTGCAGAACCCACATTAGCAATATATAGGCAAACTCCCAAAACTGCCTACTAAAGTGGTGGATGACACCCCCATCCACCCACAACTACCCACTAAAGTGGTGAATGACACCCCCATCCACCTAGGGTCATGTTGGCACCCACTAAGTGTGCCAACACTACATATGTAGTTGACAAGCCCAATTACTAGTTTGTTGGCATGTTCTGCTCATGCCACGTGTCCACAGGAAGTTGCATTCAGTATAGTGGAAAAAACCACCTCCAACCGCCTGTGTGTTGTCCTCTCAAATCTATGCCACATGGATGAGAAGTTATTCATCACACCCCCACTCCCCACATGAGTGGAAAGTGCTAGTAACTTCCCCTAACCAACTGAGCCCACTTAGTGGGAAGTGTAACTTCCCCCAATCAACTGAGCCCACTTAGTGAGAAGTGTTAGTAACTTCCCCCAACCAACTAGACCCACTTAGTGGGAAGTGTAACTTCCCCCAACCACCTGAGCCCACTTAGCCATCTTCTGTAACCATAAGCCATATCTGAGTCCCCTGAGCCAACCTTGCACGCTGAGCTTTGCCTACGCCCACTGCCTTGTACCCATGTCCCTGACTTGACTATGCCACACGTACATGACTTGTGTGGTCCATGCTTTAAGCAACATCTGAGCCAACCTTATGAACTTAGCCCGTGCCAAGCCCGCTAATCTGCACCCACATATAAATGTCTCAAAGTGCACGACATCCAAATCGAGTGCCGTCTGCGCCAACCATCTTCTATGACTCAAGGTACCTCCCATAAAGATCTCGAGCCAAAACTCCAAGCTTCACTTTTTCGCCATTTTTACGAAAATGCCACTGGGCACCCCCAGTGCACGCTCACAGCATCCCATGGCTGTCAGGGGGCTTGTCATGGTCCCAACCCCGTAACAGATAATTAATTTGGGACATCTAAAAATGAAATATTGGACTACTAATATGGGACAAAAATAGTATAATTTTTTAAAAATAAATTCAAATACAACAAGAATACAACAATATCTATCATATTAATATAATTTAATATTTTTTTTAAAAAAATCAAAAGTATATGTAATATTCTATATATAAATTTAAAATAAAAATTATTCAACATGTTATATATATTATTGTTAATGATTTTCTATGAAACTTATGACAAAAAAGTCTAGAATTATCAAATCTATCATGTTATATATATTAACAATTTTTACTATAATATTATGTTACATATCTAAATCAAAATGTTTTAAAAGTATAAAATATATGATTAATTATTTCGGTAATTGTTCAATATATGTGGATCGGAGAATTTTACATATTCGCTCGTGAATTATGGAATGCAGGCCTAACATTACTTTCATTGAGATAAAATATATACGTAGAAAGAGTAACGATAAACTCTCCTTTAAATTAGTATATTTTGAACCAAAAAAAAATAATATTTAAGCAATTTCACTATATAAAAAAAATTAATTTAAAATATCATAAAATAAATTATTTTAATCAAAAGATAGAATGTGTAAAATGTTAACTTGTGATTTATTATATATAATCATATAATAAAAGACAAGGAATTTATCAGGGAAATCTAAAAAAGTTATCTTCAAGGAAATTCTGGAAAAAAAGAAAAAAAAAATCTTTAAGGAAATACAATATTAAATATAGAAAGTTATTAGATATACGAGTATGTCTACAGCACCCCTTGTAAAGGTCTGTGCGCTTCATAGTCTCGCTCTGTAACTCTCTCTCTCTATACAGTTGCTATCTTTGAATTAATTTGTGATTCTTGTTTGTTTTTTCAATTAAAACCACAGACAAAGTGTCATCACATACAGCAACTCTTTCTCTCCTCCTTTAATGGTTTAGGTTTGCTTTTTTTCACCCCTCTCTCTCTTTCGTCTCTTCTTAAACACACTCTTGTGCTTGGTAGGTTGTGCCGTTGGATTTATGGGCCCAATTTTCCACTTAAGATTAATGGTGAGAGAGAGAGGGTATCTCTCATCTCTTTTCTTCAGTGCTTTTCTTTACCCATTTTCTTACTGTCTCGCATTTGGTGTTCTAGGGTTCCTATAAGGATAAGATTTGGGATTTGTGCTTTCTCTCTCTACAATCCATGACAGTTGATTCTCCGTTGTTTTCCATATGGGATTTTTTTTTTCAGACATGGTTTCTGAAAATTGAGAAATTTGATATTTTTGGGTCTGAGGTTTTGAAGATTGAAAATTTTGGTATTTGGATCTGAATTTTGATCAGCCTGTGTTGAGTCTGTTGACTGTATACTCTGTTTTGGTGCTCGGTAATAGAGATTCGCAAGTTGGGGTTTAAATTTCTGTGGCGGATTGTTGGTTTTTTGAGGTTAACTCTGGAATTTCTTGGGATCCCTAAGCGAGTTTATAAGATTAAGATATGGTGATCATTGCACGTCCAATCGGACTATTTCAAATCGAGAATTTCAATATTGTTTCTTTGGAAACTTAAGCCAGATTTTTATCTGATTTTCTGAGATTGGATTTTTGTTTATGAAGGTGAATTTATACTTTGTAGTGACTTTGTGGCAGGTTGGCAGCTAGGTTTATGAGTTCATTTCTAATTTCTATATTTTCATTGCAGGGTTTGATGGTTGATACATAGCCATTTGATTTTGAATCTGGGCTTTCAAGCTGCATTGATGTTCATGAATTTGGAATTGGGAGCTATTGAATGTTAAAGAATGGACAAAGTGATTCAACCTCCTCTGGTAATTTTCGTTTTTCCCTTTCAGCTTTTGTCAATACCATAGATATAGGTTAAAAAAAAAAATAAAATAAAATACCATAGATATGTTTTCTGTGATCTAATTCACTATAATCCCAGAATAATCCCAACTTCCATTTATTTGGTTTTACCATTTTGAAACTGCCAAAATATTTATGTTAGACTAATCTCTATGTCAATTAATGAAATTCTATATTTGTATGTGTGTTTTATATATATATATATAAATCTCTTTTTCTTTATACATATAAATATATATATTTGTATGTGTGTTTTCATCTATCTTAACAATGACTGATGCTTAGTCTGGTTATTAAAGGTATTAGAAATATAGCTCAAAAGTTTATTGCAAGTGTTTGTGGAGTATGAACATTCATGGAAAAGAAGCCATTTTTTTCCGTTTTTTATTTTTAAGGGCACTAATTCATTCTCTAGAATGAAGGCATGATAGAACGCACATGAAGGTGGAATTTGTGATTATTGCCTTAGATGCTGACACTAGCATAACATATTGTGGTGAATTGTTGCTTTGTTGAGAAAGAGAAAATTAAGGTGGGGTGGTGGAAACTTACAGAAAAAGAATTAAAATGTGACCGTAGTTGTATATTTGCAGGTTGATACAACAGCATGTTTTTGTAGAGTAGATGCAGGCCTCAAAACTGTTGCTGGAGCGAAGAAATTTGTTCCTGGGACAAAGCTCTGTCTTCAGCCCGACATCAAACCTTCTATTCATCCATCTAGGCAGAAGCCAGCGCGTGGCGACAGAAACCGGAGCCAATCCCCCCTGCTTCCTGGACTTCCTGACGATCTTGCTATTGCTTGCTTGATCCGGGTCCCAAGAGTTGAGCACCGTAAGCTCCGGCTAGTCTGCAAAAGATGGTATCGTCTTTTGGCTGGTAATTTCTTTTACTCGCTTCGAAAGAGCCTTGGAATCGCAGAAGAATGGATATACATCATGAAGAGAGACCGAGATGGTAAAATCTCGTGGCATGCCTTTGACCCCATATATCAGCTTTGGCAGCCTCTCCCTCCCATCCCCAAGGAATATTCTGAAGCTCTTGGGTTTGGATGTGCTGTTCTCAGTGGCTGTCATCTGTACTTGTTTGGTGGCAAAGACCCAATGAAGGGTTCCATGAGGCGAGTCATTTTTTATAGTGCACGGACTAACAAATGGCACCGTGCTCCAGATATGCTTAGGCGACGACATTTCTTTGGCTCTTGTGTCATAAACAATTGTTTGTATGTAGCTGGTGGGGAGAATGAGGGGGTGCATCGGTCCTTGAGATCAGCTGAAGTTTACGATCCCAACAAGAATCGGTGGTCCTTCATTTCGGATATGAGCACAGCAATGGTGCCATTCATTGGGGTTGTTTACGACGGCAAGTGGTTCTTAAAGGGGCTAGGATCTCACCGACAGGTTCTAAGTGAGATGTACGAACCTGAAAATGACAGCTGGTACCCTGTTTATGGCGGAATGGTTGCAGGCTGGAGGAACCCGAGTGCTTCCTTAAATGGGCATCTCTATGCTTTGGACTGCAAAGATGGCTGCAAACTTAGGGTTTATGATGAAGCGACTGATTCCTGGAGCAAGTATATTGATAGTAGGATGCATTTGGGGAATTCCAAGGCTTTTGAGGCAGCCGCACTTGTCCCTCTCAATGGAAAACTTTGTATTATTCGAAACAATATGAGTATTTCAATGGTTGATGTGTCAAAATCTGGAGATGCAAGGGGTGCTACTGCAGAACATTTATGGGAAACTATTGCCGGGAAGGGACAGTTCAAGACATTGGTCACGAATATCTGGTTGAACCTTGCTGGTAGAAACCGCCTTAAAAGTCACATAGTTCATTGCCAGGTTCTTCAAGCCTGAAGATGGTACTCTAATCAGACGAAAGATGGACTTGGTGTGTTGTATCTCCTAATACATTGTGATCTGATAGGAGGCTGTGTCATGCTTATAAAGAACAAGTTGCCAAGCTTGTGGCAATTCATGCACACAGAAGATATGTTGTTAGTATAATTTAAAGTTTAAATGATCATATGTATCATCAATAGGCTCTAGATCAATGAGGATGCTTGTTTTGGTTTGTCATAAATATTTATAGGATACACACACAATTACATGTTCTGAAAAATGAGTAGTGCAATATCATGAACCTACCAAATCTTTATGCTTGCCGTAAAAGCTGCCATTGCCATCATTCAAGTAAGTTTGTTATGCAAGTTTGGGCCATTCTCGAATTAAATTGGTTGCTCTCATTGTTAAATCATGGGGCTTATTAGTTTTAAATATAGTTAGCCTGACAAGGACTTGCACGAGCAGAAGCGATGGCTTAGAGTGGTGCTGAAACTTTAGGCTGTGACAATTTGGTATCAAAATTTCATGTCAAATAAAAGTCTTAAATTTTAGGCTGTGACAATTGGTGTCGAAATTTTAAGTCAAATATCCTAAACTTTAGGCTGTGACAATTGGTGTCGAAATTTTAAGTCAAATAAACGTCATTCTTGTGGCAAGATGTTCCATATCACTGCAACAATTTTACATTGCAATAATTTATTATGCAACCATTTTAAATTACTTGTCTAATAATTATCTTAAATTACTTACGCAACAACTCTACATATGGTCATTTTTTATTGTATATGGTCAGTGCCCAAGTCAGAGAAATTGGTTTTATTCCAAGCCATTTTTTATTTTTGTAATCATATTCGTAATTTTTGGATTTTTTTTTTTGAAAAAATAAAAGAAGCGTGATAGAGAGAAATAAGGAGAGAAAATTATATGCATTTTTTCAGCAATAAGATCAAAATGTATTAATTATTCGGAATATATGGCCAGTGCCCAAGTCAGAGAAAATGTTTTCTTTTTTAAGCCATTTTTTATTTTTGTAATCATATTCGTAATTTTTGGAATTTAAAAAAAAAAAATAGAAAAAAAAAATGTGTGATAGAGAATTTAGAGAGAAATAACACAAGAGAGACAGAATAAATGGTTTCTTTTTTAATTTTAAAAGCAAAAACAAACACGCCCTTAAATATTGCTAAAGCTTGTAGCATGACTGCTTGAGTTCAAAAATTATTATTCATCATGTATTCACTTCGCCGAGCACAGTGAGGAGAGAGAAAAAGGAAAACAGAAAAGGTTAAAAAGAAAAAAGAATTCATTTTAGTTTCATTTTGTTATGTGAATTTAACCAGCTCTAATTGTCTAAAGTGTATACTATATTTGTCTACTCTCTCTCCTCTCTCTCACCCATATATTATATATATATATATATATGTCCAATTTAATGCAAGTGACCCACGGCCTTTGGGCCTTTTAGATGTCATAATTCCTTAGCGGTGCTTAATATTGTTACCATCTAAGTATCGTTTTTCATGTATTTAATCTGGGTTGTGGGTTTTTGCTTCGTTTCCATTTTATACTGCACACAATATGCTTGTGGTTATGCCTCATAGAGATGTTTATATGTAACAACACGCATCTATGCACAGTTCAATACCCTATAGGCGATTAAGGACACAAACTCAGGAAAAGAAAGGTAAATTGTTTGTGTTAACAATCTGCCATGAATTATGTATTGGTAAATTGCTCGGGTAAACAATGTTGTTACGCTGATCTGACAGTTGAAACTGGATTGAATAATGCAGTTATTGGGACACCGTTGATAGTCTGTGTTTTTTTTCTCTGAGCTCGGCCAACATTATTGTGTTTGGTTCCTCTCAGGAAAAAATAGAAAGAAAAGAAAAGAAAAGATGCTGAGATTGTTCGTTGCGAAGGCCACTCAGAAACAGAACCCACTTCACCTCACCCAATTCATTCCACTGGCAAGTTTTTCCACCTTTCCATTGTGCACCAATTTGATTTTTTTTTTTTTTCCCTGAATACCAATTTGATTTTTTCATTTGACTTTATCTTTCTGCTATAGAGAGGAATGCATAGTAGAAATAAAAAGGCAATGGAGTTTGTAGCCAAAGGGTGGAGTGCTTTGAAGGAAGTTGATAGAGTCATTGATTACGCAGAACTTAATGACAAACGTCTCATCCCTCTCCTCAGGGTAAAATAATTTTTTGTAAAGAAATTATTATTATTATTATTATTTTATTCTGTTTAAATGATGTTTGTATTGATGCATTTGACAACCTCTGTGAGGGGTGTGATGTGAGCGAGCACTGACAGGCTACAATGTGTCATGATCCCACATCGTGTGGGAAAGTGAAGTGCTATATGTAGGTTCTACACCCTTCTATGACACATCGCATTTTAAAGCCGTGATGGTCATGAACCTACCAGAAAACGTGTTTAACCTGGAATAGTAGCAGGATGGGTGACCCATTGGGAAGTCTCTGGTTGGGGGGAGCCAAAAACGGACAATATTGTGTCTGAATAGGGTGAGGGTTGTTACAATGCATGTGTTTGTCTGTATGTCAATGTTTTTCACATTGACGTTTATCATCCTCCTTAGGTTGTTTGGTACCCTTGAGATGTCATTTCCTCTTCCTTTATGCATATACTAATTTACATGCAAACATGGAGATGATGGTACATAGATGACGAAGTTCAGCGTTTCTCTTATTGCTTTATTCTTTAAACAGCAAGAAGCAGTAAGCTTCATTGATTATTGTTATGATTCCAGTTAAGTTTATGCCTGTGGTGATTCATTTTGTAAGAGCAGAACTTGTGCTTGTTGAGGAGTTGCTCAATTAAGGATGAAGTGTACGATGTTAATCCCCCTGTATTTTTTTGGATAAGAGGGAGATCTTTAATTTTAACAATTCTTTTGTAAATTTCTTGGGAGAGATGAGCTCATAATTTGTTTGCTGCTGTTGTTGTTGTTGTTGTTGTTGTTGTTCTTCTTCTTCTTCTTCTTCTTCTTCTTCTTCTTCTTCTTCTTCTTCTTCTTCTTATTTGGCATTTTACTGAATTAATCCTATGTATGAAAAGGAAAAAAAAGATAGCTCAATTTAATTTATTGGATTCCTATGCTGATTAGGAGATGCAATTATTGTTATGGTTTAAAATTTGGATTTGAAGGTAGCAAGTTTTCTATTGGACAAGTAACTGTCATGACAAATTGAAAATTATGAAGAAATATTAACGATTTTACTGTTAAACTGTGGTTTTGTGGACTCTTAAAATGAGTTCATTAACGTTGCCACATCTTCTGTTTTTTGTTTTATGTAATTTGGAATTTCTATTGTTAATGTCTGTTTAAGAGTTAGGTTTTCATCAGTAATTGGCTTAATTCTATGCTTTCAACTTCCAAATATTGTCTTTCTTATTCTGCAATTTTGACCATGGAGGAAAATATGTCAACATTTTTTTCTTGTGCAAGTTTCACATCAGACAGCAAAGGAGAACTTTGAGTTGGCTCTGGAGGCTGACAACACAAATACCAATGCTAGACTTTATTTGTCCAAATTGCATTTCAAATACCATGTCCCAGGGGCATGTAAAGCTATGTAAGGAACTTATCACTTTCCTCTCTGTTATTTTTCCCCTTCAGTTTTTGTTACAGTCGCTATAGATATTTGTGTATAAAAGTCACTACAAAGCTCGTATATCAATATACATTTAGATAAGCAGAAGAGGTAAAAGTCGCAGATTTTCATTTTTCAATTCACATGGATTATAGACTATTCTGTAGTGCTGTTAAATATCTTCTTTTTTTTCTTTTTTTTCTTTTTTTTTTTCTTTTTTTTTTTTTTTTTTTTTTATATGCAGTAATCGATTTCCCATGATTTGCAAAATGCCTTCACTATGTTTGTTACTTGATTATGTATATCTAGATGGACATAATTTGCAATCTTTGCCTTTCTCTTCATGATAGAGGAGCTGCTTTGTTAGTGGAAGCAGCGGATATGGGTAATCCAGATGCACAGTATGAATTGGGTTGCCGGCTGAGAGTTGAGGTCAGGCTCCCTGTGCATAATATTTCAATTAATACATGTTGATCCGTTTGTTTTTAGAATCGTGATCTTCAGATCTTTGATTTGATTGAACCCCTTGGACTTTCAATGAAGGCATTCAATAGTTTTGTTTTGTTTCGAGAGGTGTTGGGTTGTTCTTGATATTTCTGTACTATTTTTAAAGTACTGTTGAGATCGTTTAGTGACCTTTGATTTTTTCTTGGTATTTACAGTAATTTAACGGTTTTTTCTACATAATGAGCACTATATGCTTCTTGATATTTATCCATCATTTCATATTCCATGAAGCTTTGTTCCGTGTTGCTATAAGGATAACTTAGTCCCGGTCTCTGCTTGCTGAAGCATATGCAGCATCTAATCTTGTAAGCATTGCAGTTGAAGCCTGGAAAGTTGGGTATAAGCTCTATGTGAACCCACCATTCTCGTGCAAACTAAGAAATCCACTCAAAGCTAATTAAAATTGTTGCTTTTAATCCATACGATGCTTCAACTTCCATGCATACTGCAATTTCTTTGTAAAGTGTAAATCATTTAGTTTAGTTCTCATCTACCTTAGTGGTATTAAATGGCCAATTGTCCATGGCATTGTTGAGATTAGTCACAATTGCATGAGTGTGATCCTCTCTCTCTCTCGCTCACATGTGGGTGAACATTTCTCCCACTTGCAACAAATCTTCATAGTTTTTCCTTTATTTCTTTCTTATTCATTTAGGTATATGTAAAATCTTACGTAGATTTTGTTTCTGATCATGGGCCAATGCATGCCAGTATGCGTTTCAGATAAATTTTTTTTTTTTTTGGGTAAGAGTTCTGTGTTCATCCAAACCCATCAAATTGGATTGTTATTATATTCCTAACAAGCTTGAGATACCTTTTATCTGATTATTGTCTTGTAAATCGCAAAGCACTGGCGTTGCTGTCTAGGTTTGTGCTCTTAGTGAAGTTCAGATTATTTCAGGCCTAGCTTACAAAATATTGTACATTATCATCAAGTTGTGTAAGCAATTTCTTCTGGAAACCATTTTTATTTAGTGTTGCTATTGTGAGAAATGTAACAAATCACTGTGGTTTTGTGCTGGCTTACTCTCATCCTCTATGCATTTTATTTATTATTACCTGTTTTATGTATGGTTATGACTTAAAAAGCCACGTGGCTCACATACTTCTGATTGTTTAGTCCCTCACTTATTCTACTTTACACTGGCATCTTCTCTAATTGAATAATTATCTTATGTTCTTTTTTTTTCTTTTCTTTTTTCCTTTGTATTTGGATAGAATGAATATGTTCAATCAGATCAGCAAGCTTTTTATTATTTGGAGAGAGCTGTTGATCAGGTATCTTTCCTGAAGGCACAGTTGTCTTAGTTATGCTTGAAAAAATATGTCTCGAAATCTTATTCTACTTTCTATCTTCTAGTTGAATCCAGGAGCTCTTTACCTTCTAGGTGCTGTATATTTGACTGGGGATTGTTTGAAGAAAGATATTGCCTCAGCAATTTGGTGTTTCCATAGAGCATCAGAGAAGGTATAAGAAACTGAACTTTCTTCTCATTGAAATGTATTTATTAATTAAGTAGGGATGAACTAGCACAATTCAAACTATATTTTAGTCGACAACAGGGTTATATTGCAGCTGCTAATGAACAGTGCCAAGCTGAGTTATTTTATTTTTTTCCTATTCTGTTTGGCTTGATCAAATGAAACGGTGGTCAAGCTTGGCTCAAGCTAAAGGCGAGCTGTGAAGTTTGGCTTGTTTTGTTCAACCTCAGTCAGCCATGTTCAGGCTCGGGCTTCAGCTTGTTTCCACATATGACTTTGGAAAACGGAGGGCTCGTACCTTGCACACAAGTATATCTTATTTATTCACTTAAATAGACCCTACCGAAAATGTATGCAAACCCCAGCCCCATAATCCATATATCAAATCATAATTGTACTAGCAAAAATCAATACCAAGGGTTGGAGATTAGAGTACCCATCAAATACATTTTTTTTTTTTATTTGGGGTGGGGGGGGTGACATTGGTGAGGAAGTGGAGAAAAATGCAAAAAAGACCCTTGCGAGGTGTGAGTTCAACAGAGAGAAGAAGTAATGGAACAGTCCTCTCCCTGCCTGTTCCTCTTCTACATCCCAATACAAACGTTTATATACAATCTCAGCTCGAACTTTGTTTTCCCTAGATTAATATTTTTTTCAAATTAATTGGTAGTGGAGTTTCAGTTAGAAAGTGATATTTTTTTTTTTCTTTTGATAAGTAAAAATTTTATTACTAGACCGCACCAAAGGGGATGTAGTCCGGGTACACACGGCATACACTGAAGCAGAACCTTTATGCACCTTCTAGATTAGAGAATATGGACATCAAATACATTAGCTCTACTTTGAGCTATGAATATTAGTTGACCTACTAAGAATTCTACTTTGATATGATCTCACCTTCTTTGCATATATGCAGGGGCATGCTGGTGCCGCTATAGCATATGGGTCCCTTCTACTAAGAGGTTAACTCTTCCTACCTTAATATGCTTTTCTTATTCGAATTATGTGCAGATACTTTATAACAGTTTCCTTTCCTTTTTTGGGTTAATGTTACTTTTTAGATAAAATTGTTCTTGAATTCATTGTCCATACCTTGTTGGTTGTTATTGCCAGATACTTATTTTGATTAAAATTGCACTGCATGCGAAGTCTTCTGTAAATAGCATACATTTGATATTGTAGGGATGACATCTACTAGTTTTTGCCATATAGCCCAGTTGATGTACACATGATTGGTGCTCAACACTCCATAAACCCTTGTCTGCATGATTGGTAATTGGGTTAATGCTAAAAACTCACCTTCATTTTGATAAATAAGAAAATTCAGTCTTCCATAAGCGAAAAGAAGGAAAAATATATAGATGATGGATATTAATATTCAACTAGTTCACATAACTATATAAAAAATTAAAATAAAAAGGAAAGGAATTTCAAATGTTTACGCTCATTGGGAGAATGGGAAGCCTATGATATTGTGACCTATTGGTTGAACAAATATTAGGGTAGTGGGATGGGTGAAGATACACAAGTAAAGAAAGTAGGCTGATTATTCAAGCTGAATGAAATTTATCCATTAGATACTAGCTATGCACCCTTCTATTTCCATCCAATTCTTCAGCCGACTTTCTTCAGTCTTCTTAATCGCAAAGTATATCATTTTCTTTGTAGTTTTTCTTTTCTATCCATCCAAGGATATCTTTCACATATAATTTAAATAATTTTTTAATTTCCATTATATAAAAAGAAACTAAGATATATACTTGAGAAGTTGGACTTTGATGATATCTAATTATATAAATATATATATATATATATTTGAACTTTCATGTAAAAAAGGTGTAAAATAAATTGTTATAAATAAATTGTCAAAGTATTATAGAGAATATAGATTACAAATAGAAAGTTTGCTTTGCCCTCACCCTGCAATAAACCCTAAAATAAATTTTTTTAGATCCACCTACAATTTATCTAGCATAAATCAGTAGTTCCTACTCAATTTGTGTTGGCTATTTTTCTTTCTTTTCTTTTCTTTTTTTTTTTTTTTTTTTCTTAGCTGCATACCCGCATGTCTCAGGTGTTGAAGTCCCAGAATCTCTGACAAAATTCAACTCAAAAAGAGCTTCCGGTACAAGAACATTAAGGAAGAATGAGGGAAGCCCCGTGCAAGATGGAGTAGAGAAGGCAAGAGAACAGTTTGAAATTGCTGCAAAAGCAGGATGTGATCTTGGATTTAAATGGTTGAAAAGACTTGAGGAGGAAGAGAAACGTCTCCAAGCTGCCGATACTCCCCCATCTGAATTGGTAGCGTAGAAGGTATGAATTCAAGACTCAACTTTGGAGACCTAGAAATGCCTTCTAAGAACATGAATATTTCATGTTTGAATATCTAAGCTCGAAATTGGATTAGGTTGTTATCGCGAACGTTGCTCTGAAAATTATGACTGCCCTTATACAGATACTTTTTTGTTGAAAAAAAAAAAAAAAAACACGTATGCTGCCTTGTAATACTACTTAAATGAATTTCGTCCATGGAGTTCTATATTAGTGGTCGTGTTATATAATCAGGTTTGTGTATGTTGAAATGTCATAATAAAAGAGATCATGTATTCAATTGTGTTTATGCTTGGTATCTGATAAAAGGTTTTACAGGATTTAATATTGGAGGATGATTAAGGATTTGTTTGTGTTAGTAAGACCATGATTGGTGCCAAAAGAATGAGAATGAAAGTCGAGGTTTCTGAGTTGGAAGCAAGTGGGTGGTGTAAGTGTGACTACACATAAATTGGTGAGTCAGTTTTTGAAGTTTTGGTGAAGATGGAAACTCAAAAGAAATAGTAGCAAGTAGTTTGGTGGTGAAGGATACATCATCATCATCATCCCATCCATCGTTGGTATTTGAGATAGCAGTGAGTGAGTACCTACCTGCCAACAACAAAAGGCATTTTGTATGTATGTGGTGCCTGCTATTTCGTGTAGCTTTTTCTAAGCAAATTAAGTGCAGAATGTCAGACCCAAATTAAGCTCACATCGAGGCAGGTTGGTACACTTGTGTCCGTGAAAGTTAACACATCATTACCTCAACAATTATATGGACATGGACATAGCTCCATGTGAGCTGACCTTTCATTGGAGTATTTTAAAATTAGTGTCTCAGATTTTGAAACTTTAGCATAGCTTTCTCATCAATGCTTGGTGCCAAAAAATATACTACCATAAAAAAGGGTGGGAAAGTGTTTTATCTGACCAGGAAAAGTGGTGCAGGTTACAGAGATACAAGTAAAGGTGCTTTTGTCCAATTAAAATATTACTCTAGTTGAAATGGTCATTAATCTTTCTTACTGCACTTAAGGGTAGTTTTGATATTTAGAATGTATCTCACTTACTAATCCTAGTAGTAATTATGCAAATCTTAAGGGAGGCTAACTACAATTTTTTTCAAATAGTTTTATGAACGGATAATTTGGACCAAAACTTCATTTTTTGTTGATATTCGCATTCTACTTTTCTCCAATTGCATTTCATTTATCTTTTTCTTTTAAATGAAATGACAAGATAGTCCTTGAATTTATTAATCAATCATTCTTTAATTTATAATGTCATAATTATCTTTTATATAACTTTAACATTTTTTTTTACCTTCTTTACTATTTTTTTTTTCTTTTTTCTTTGTCTTTTTAGGAGGTCCTTTCAAAGAAAATAATTTATTTCATACTAATAATTTTATTTTTAACAGTCAAAAGAGATAATTTATTCCAAAATGACGTTTTTTTTTTTTTTTTTTTTTTTTTTTTACAATCCAAAGAGATATTTATTCAACAAAGTTATTTATTTATTTTTTTCAGTCAGGTTAAAAGAGATCATTTTTTTTTTTTTTTGGATAATTTTTTATGAGTCCTCTCAAACTAAATAATTTATTGGATAAAAATAACTTTTTTTTAATCCTCTTCTTTTCAAACTTTGTCTTTTTAGAATCTTGACAAAAGAGATAATATCTTTAATAAATATTTTTTGGGTGAGGGTTTTTTCATGTCAAAAGAGATGAATTTTAATGGTTACTTTTAATTTTTCGGTTAGGTGGAGGTCATTTATTCAACATAATTTATTTTTTTTTATTATTTTTTTTGGTGTTTTTAAAAAAAAAATTATTCAAATATTTTTTTTATTTTGTCAAAAAAGAGCTAAAATATTAAAAATTAGAGATTATGATTATGATTATTTACTTGTAAAGTTAAAATATTATGATTATTTACTTGTAAAGTTAAGGTTGGAATTGTTATTATTATTATTATTATTATTATAAGACATCTCACTTATAATATTTAATTTTTTTAAATTGATTTCAGTAAGTTCATGACATGTGATCTTTTATCTCTTACCTTTTATAATAATTTTTGTTGCAATATTTGTCTTTTACCTCTTTCAACGGACCAATATAAAAATGAAAAGATTCTATGTACTACATACTACTTTTGTAGACTAACTCTTTAAGCCAACCAAGTAACAATTCTTGTGTGCAATTTGAATGAATGTATTTATTTAATCGATTTGAAAAAGCATTTAACGGAGTCTGATGTTAAAGATAAAAATTTTAAAAATTCAAGGCTATTGTAACTTAATAATACATTCTAAAATAACATTGAATTAGTGCATTGAAGGAGCTCGATTTGATGAAATTAATTCTTTTTAATAATATAATTCGAGATGTGTTTAGGGATCTCACTCTAAATCTTCGTATCTGTTTTAACAGTAATTATTTTATTTTGATAAATAAATTTAATTAATAATGTGTAAATATCATTTTTCTTGAAAATATGTCCAAACACCCTTGCTAATTAACTCTTAAGTTGTAATCACCTTACTTATGCACATTGTACATGTGTTAATTATAAGCCCTGCAACATCACAATCATTTCACGTCTCAAATCGCCGCATCAGCCGAACATCGCCGCAAGGGGGGCATCTTAAAAGTTTCGTCATTCCGATTCTACCCTTACAACCGTTTTGCTCCTCAAGACTAGTTCCCACGCGCCGAGAGTAAAGATGGACTATGACCACTTTTGCTTGCAGCAATCAATCAACAGGAAAAAGTACCCATTTCAGTTTTCATCAAAATTAGCCCACTTAAGCAATGAGCATTAGCTTAAGTGGTACTGTATGACTTTTCTTTTTTAAACAAAAAAAAAATACCTATTATTTAGACCCATTTAAATGTAAAATTATGATTGTGCATTTCACTTAATCATCACTTGTCTTGTCAATTTTTTGGACTCCCTATTGATTTAGTTGGAGTCATTTTGAGGTTAATTTGGTCATTTATTCGCACCCATGTTAGGTACTCCAACTTGTTGGCATGCTTATGATGTGTGAAAGTACCATCTAGTTTAATTAGTGGTACTTTGGGAGAGATTAGATGTTGATGAGAGGGTTCAAGTTTGGATTTGGTTTGAATTTAGTTTTTTTTCTTAAAAATGATGAAGATCCATTAATCAAACTAATATAAATAATCTGATAATAGCTTGAATCGGTTTTTATGTGTTAACTGGTTATCTTAGAGAAAATGTAAACAATACACAAGAAAAATTACTAATAAATGCATATTCATGTTGTTAGCTTTATGTGATATTACTTGCAGTTACTTGTTTACTTTTTCACTTTGAAAAGCATTTTTGAACTCAAAATCAAGTGTCACTCTTGCTTTCGGAAGTCTGAAAATGATAAATTCAGGACTAAGAAACACAAAGAAGCAAAGAGAGACATCAAGAAAAAAGAGAGGTGTCATTTTTGTACTTTTATTTGATCAAAGTATTGTAAGTAACACCTTTTACTATTTGTTAGGAGACTTAACAAAGAAAGGGTAAAGTGTAAAAAATATTTTATTATTTAGGGAATATGCAAATATCTCTCTAGCGTTAAAAAAAATAAAATAAAAAATAATAATAATAATAAATTTTTAAATTTTAAATTGAGCAAATAAAGACATTTTATCAATTTCAAGGTTGAAATGCCGTGGAACTGAAACTCTCATCATCCACTTTAGAGGATAAAGGAGATATCATTAGATTACAAGGCATTCGGTATTTGGACAAAATTGATGATTAATTGACACTATTGACTAATTTGTATGTATTTTAAAATATTATGAATTTTTATACACGTACTAAATTATAAAAGCTTTTTTAGGAGAAAGATATATACTCCCTCCGTCACATATTAGATATATCTTTTGGGGAGTAGAATTTTTTAGGGGGACATGTAATTATTGTATTGTATTAAGGGGACATGTAATTATTGCATTGTCCCTTCAAAAATTATAAAGCTATCATTTCAAGTTTAAATAGATATATAAAGTTTGATCTTTTTAAAAATTTTAAGAATATTTTATGAAATGATATGAAATATGTTGTTTAAACTTAGTAAGTGGATAAGTATTTTCGGACAACCCAAAAAAGAAAGATTGATAACTATTATGGAATAGAGGGAGTATATTTTTTTGGCACCCTATCCAAAAAGAAATTACACTACATTTGTCCCAAAAGAAACAGAAGAAATAGTTTTGAATAAAACATTTTCAAAGTACACTTTATTATTTATTTATTTTTCTTTAACAAATAATTTCATAATATTTTGAGATTATCTTGAATCCACTATCTTTGTAATTAAAATAATTTGGTACAAGTAACTCATTGCTTGTTACATTAACTTTTTCCTTTAGAATATCACTTTATTAATATCATAATTCGCAATTTCCTTAGTACCAAAGTAACCAAACATAGAGAAAATTGCAAAGCTTCTCCATGAAGTGGATGGGTGAAAGTTGGAGTACAATAAAAAGATGCCCACAGATATTTTCTTGATATTCGGTCCACGCGCCTCAAGTGAACGTGGGAGGGGCTGCCACGCCCATTTCGCTTCTCCATAAAACTCCCGCACCATCGGAAATATAATATCTCTCTCTCCATCTCGGGAAAAGAAAAGACCCAAAATACTGTCACCTCTCTCTCCTCCTTTCTCTCTCTCTTCGAAATAGTGAAATAAGGGTTTCGCAGCTTTTACACGCCACGTTACACGAAAGTTCGTCTTACTACTACTGTAATTACTCCAGAGTCGAGCCAGAATGAAAACATATTCTCAACCTCTCCTTCTTGACCATTTTACCCCACCATAATTCTTTAATTCTCTCTCTCTGTCTCTCTCTATATATATATATAGACACAGTCACATATCACACATTTATAACAGTAACTATTACAGCTTTAGCTCTGTACGTACAATGGAGTCCCTTTGCTTTCCTTCATCCTTAAGGTGTCTCCTCTCCTAGCTTGTAGTCATTTGCTAATAGACTGTTGCTTTACAGTATCACAACAGGTCTAAAGTTCAGGTTTCAGGGTCACTTTTCTTCCTTTTTTCCCCCCTTAAAGTTGTAGGGTTTAGCTTGGCTTTTGATCAGACAATGACCATGTCTTGGTCCGATTCTCTTACTGAGTCTACCACGAGACCAACTCGCCCCACTCGCCCATCCTACGTTCCTCCTCACCAAAGAAACCACAATGGCTTCACTCTCACGCCGTCTGAGTTTACGGCCGAGTCATTTTCTTCACCTGGGTCTCGATTCATGAACCGCTCCGGTTATTACGAGCTTGGTCGAACAGGCCCGAGCAGGGTTCGAGCCCCCCGTGGTCGTGGCGTTGGCCGTGGCCGTGGTCGATCATGGGGTCGATACAACAATATGTATGACCCAAACCCAAACCCAAACCCAAACCCAATCTTACACCCAAATCCTTTTGATATTGCAGAGAAATTTAATGAGTTAGAGGTTGTTGATGACACTGGTGGTTTAGGAGGCATCAATTTTGATGCCTATGAGGATATACCTGTTGAGGCCAGTGGCTCAGACGTACCTCAGCCCGTGGAGTCGTTTGCAGAGATTGATTTGGGGAAGGGTTTGAACGATAATATCAAGAGGTGTAAGTATGTTAAGCCCACGCCAGTACAGCGCCACGCCATACCCATAGCCATGGGCGGCCGGGACTTGATGGCGTGTGCGCAGACGGGGTCGGGGAAGACGGCGGCATTTTGTTTTCCGATTATAAGTGGGATTCAAAGGAACCATGCCATGAAACCACTTTTGAGCCGTGGGGGGGTTGCTTATCCACTTGCTCTTATACTGTCCCCAACCAGGGAATTGTCAATCCAGGTGATTTATGTTGATTCTATCTGCTGTGACCTATTGTTTGTTTTTTTTTTAATCTGGTCTAATTTTGTAGATTCATGATGAGGCAAAGAAGTTCTCTTATCAGACTGGTGTCAAAGTTGTGGTTGCTTATGGAGGGGCACCCATATTACAGCAGGTATGCATGATTATGTTAGTTTAAGTTTAATTTAATTTGTGATGCTTCAACACTCCAAGATTTCAAACCCCTGACAGCGGGTAGAAATTAGAGAAGATTAGTAGAGGAAATTTATTTGACTGCTGATTGAATCAAAGCCCTCATTGGATTTGAAGTAGGTTTTTGTTTATTGGGTGTTTTGGCTGATTTGTTGCCGATCATTACAGAATTTGCATCATGACAAGGGCCTTAACTGGTTATTGTCAATTTATAATAACCACCCTTTTGATTTATAATTGTTACCCAGTGAAAGTTGCATCCTATTGGAGTTCTGTAGCTATTATTTTCTTCACTGATAGCTTGAATATATATTTCAATGATACATACCATAATGTGATTTTTGCCAGAACTATATTTCCTACCTCTGTTGTGCCTTATCTGTGGCTAAATATATATATTTTTAAACTCTGTGTGTGTGTGTGTGTGAGAGAGAGAGAGAGAGAGAGAGAGAGATAGGGAGAGAAAGAAAAGGGAAAAACCAAATTACTTCAACTTCCCTTACTTGTCTGGTACTACTTTTGCAGGGAACTCCTGGCTGTTAATGCTATGATCTTAATGCGAGATTTTACTGTTAATTGGTAGACTTTTTGCTAGGCTTACAGTATATCAAGCCTTTCCATTTGTAATGTTAAATCAATTTGCACTTTTCTATATTGTTCGGTGCACTTGTGATTTCTGAATTTACCACTTCTCTGCCTCGAGCCTTAGTGTTTGTCTTATTTAATTCTGTTTCTGCAGTTACGAAATCTGGAAATGGGTGTTGACATCTTAGTTGCAACTCCAGGGCGTTTGGTGGATATGATAGAGAGATCAAGAGTGTCTCTTAGAAGGATCAAGTACTTGGCTTTAGATGAGGCTGATCGAATGTTGGATATGGGCTTTGAACCCCAGATACGAAAGATTGTTGAGCAAATGGGGATGCCACCACCAGGTGCAAGGCAGACATTGCTTTTCAGTGCAACATTTCCAGCCGAGATACAAGTTGGTTGACTCAATCCTTAATTTGTTCTGTCTGTGGCCAAACCAGCCTTAAATTCCTCATGTTTAGCATGTTGGTTGATTTGTTTTTATTCTCTTTTTCTCCCTTGTACTTTTGGAATGACCATATAATTAATGCTGCAGAGACTTGCATCAGATTTTCTTTCAAACTACATATTTCTAACTGTTGGAAGAGTTGGTTCTAGCACTGATCTAATCGTCCAAAAGGTTGAATTTGTACCGGACATGGACAAAAGAAATCTTTTGATGAATCTTCTTCACGCCCAAAGGGAAAATGGAACCCTCGGCAAGGTATTTCATTATTTTACTTTGTTTTACCCATCCGTTTAAAGTCAATTGCACTTGGCTGAAATACAATTGAACATTATTCTTTTTCAGCTTGCTGATTCACAGAAATTATGTTGTTTCAATGCAGCATGCACTGACACTAGTTTTTGTCGAGACAAAGAAAGGAGCAGACGCATTAGAGCATTGGTTATCCATGAATGGATTTCCTGCCACAGCAATACATGGTGACAAAGTGCAAATGGTATAGCTAATTCCTCATATTGTTTGCTACTTTTAACATTGCTTGTACTTCAGATATGAGATCCCTGCATGGTAGTCTACCCTATTCCACAATCTGCTGAACTTATTGTTCAATGCTTCTGCATTCTGGAATTTTTCTAGGTTATTTGTATTGACATTATTTCTGTTGAGCATTTACACTTCCACCTCTTGTACGGAGCCAGAACTGGGGTTGCTAGATTGTTATATATCATTAAAATTTTATTTTTAGGATTTATGCTTGATTAAGGGAGAAAAAAAAAAAGTTTTTTGTTCTCTTAGCTGAATGAACAACTGCTTGTTTGTTGAATCTGTTTGCAAAAGAATTCATATGATGTAAATACAAATATACATTGAAAATCTCATCTGTGATTGTAATCCTTAAATTGTAAGAAATTCCATTAATACTTCTACTAGTTTAACCTTGATTTGTTATCTTGCATAATTTATATTTTCTTGATGAAATTAAAGGAGAGAACAAGAGCACTGAAAATGTTTAAAAGTGGAGTCACTCCAATTCTGGTGGCGACGGATGTTGCCGCACGAGGACTGGATATCCCACATGTTGCACATGTTATCAATTTTGACTTGCCAAGAGACGTAGACGACTATGTTCACAGGATAGGCCGGACAGGTCGTGCTGGTAAATCTGGTCTGGCAACAGCATTTTTCAGTGACAAAAACATGCCCATTGCAAAGGCACTTGCTGAACTCATGGAGGAAGCTAATCAAGAGGTTCCTCAGTGGCTTATTCAATATGCTGAGACAACATCCTATGGTGGAGGTGGTCAAGCTCGTCGACACAAAGAAAACAATTTTGGGAGTAATGATTTTCGAAGTGGTGCCCAGTTGAGGAATGTGAATGATTACAATTCTAGCCCATATGCTGACGCTGAACGTTATGCTGTCACTTCCGATGCTTACCCTGCCAGTGTTAGTGCTGATTACTACAATGCTGTTAGTGCTGATTACTACAATGCTGCTAATGCTGAACCCTTCACTGCTACTGGCTGGGATTAAACATAGTTCTCTTCAATTTATTGCTTGATCAATTACTCTAGTGCAGTATAGCAGTGCAGGTGGTATATAATAGTTTTCTACCTAAAAATTGGTTGCTGAAGACAAACTACAGGTTAGAAAAGAGAAGAAAAAAAAAAAATTACAATCCTCACAGTTGTTCCTTACACAAGTACTTGGAAATATTACCAGCCTTTTTTTGGGTCAGATAATTTATTCCTGTCCATTTTTTTGACTTGATCAAATGTCATCGACTGTTGTTCTAACTGGAAGATCCTTTTTGGAAGGAGTGATGCAGAAATATGTATTGTTGGCGATTAACAGTTTGCTGAGGTTTTTGTGTTTGTAAGGAGGATAATGCTGAATACTTTTTAAACTTAAGGTATGAATGAATATATCTGCTATGTTTTGTCTCAGCTTCATCTTGCAGTTAAGTGTTTTTCTTTAACTAATTGGGATGCTACTAATTTTGTATTAATTTCAGTTCCATTTAAACTTTTGTTGATTGTGTGTATTTCATGTTTTTGCTTTGCAAATATCCTATATCAGAGGATATTTTTGTTCCTTTCGGATCAAGACCTTGCTCCATTTTTTACTAGGAATCCTATGAGTAATGTAATGGTGAAGCTCCAGATTTAGTGTGGGTGTGAATGTTTGCATTTGAGTTGTGTGATTTTATGTATGCAGTTACAATTTGAAGCAAATGGTACCCAGACACCATTCTCATTCAGTTGCTTTCATTAGCTCTTCGGTCAGGGCAATGAGTCATGGAGCAATTGGAAGCCTAATTGGTATAAACCCAATTTCACTTGTTGGCCAAGTGATATTACAAATGGAGCCAAATTAAATATGTATTAAGAAGTCTTTTTAAACTAACTGAACAAGCAGGCCCATTCCAGCAGGCTTGTTCTGCTTGGCAATTGATTATAGCTGCAGCCAATGGTAATTTTGTTGAAATTCATGGGTGAATTTCTGCATTGCCCTAATAATTTTTTTTCCTACTATTACTATCCTTTTTTTTCCAAATCCGAAGGATGTATTATTTTCTTTCGAATTATTTAAGCACAATGGAGGCCACCCATGAGATGACATCATCATAAACTTAATACATATTTATGTACGAAGTAAATATTCTATGAACTTCAATTGGCAGCACCAAGAAAACAGAATGCAAATATAAATTATATATGTGTAGTATCATTACAACAATAATATAAGCTGTCATACCAATTATAGGAAGAAAATATATTCATAAACCAAACTTGACTCCAGTATGGCTACAAGCACTTCACTCTATGGCCATCAAACTTTTTATTAAACCCAATATTTCATGACGCATCCCAGTAACAGCAGACGGAGTAACCTGCTCATTCAAAGCAAAAAACCACAGACTCTCTTCGTCTTTAGGTCCACTGGTTACATACCAGTGGCATATAGCTCTTGCAATGGCTGCAACATACAGGCCACAATCATAACCGTTCACTTGTTGCGGAGTATTAGAGTCTTCGAGATAACTGGCACCTGATGCAGTGTTAGAGGTCCCCATATATCCTGCAACCACTGTATAAAGCTGTTTGGCAGGCCGCTTATTCATGCCTTCATAGCTATCATGATGCACAAATATATTGGTCTCTCTCCAAAATGCAAGTAAGCTCCAGTGGCAACCACCTCCTGCTTTGGTCACATCATCATTGTTATTGACCGGAAAGATCACCAGTTTCTTTGCAGAAAGACCAAGGGGTTCAACAAAATCCTTGAGGCTCTCAATAGCCGGGCAATTTGTTAACCAGAAAGCAATTGAAGGCGGAACCAGTAGTATGTCCTCAGAAGGATGGCATGAAGAAAGATGACTAAAATAAAATTCAATGATGCGATCATTGAGAAAATGTGGACCGCTGAGAATGTCCAAATCTGATCGCCTAAGCACAACATCATTGTAGCTTAGAATCTTCTCATCCGCTGCGCATTTTCTCATCTTGTTGATGTCAACTCTACACCTGACAAAATCAAATCAATTAGGTTTAGAATATGCTGTTACCAATTGTTGCAAAACCTTGAGCACACACAAAACAGGGTGCAACTTGCACACATGGATGACTTTATGAAAGTTAAATTGGTTATTAAAGTGCCACAATATGCTATTTAAAAATCAATAATATCTTTTGAGAACAACAAAGATGAAATCTATCTTTATATTATTTTACAAATACATAATTTGTAAGACTGCAAGGATTAATTTACCATGTCAAAACATGGAGCACATTTTGCACCAGTTCCTAATAACCAAACTATTTTTTATCAATCACTTCCTAACAAATGGCAAGGTAATCTCAGATCATTTGCTGATTCTAAGGTAAAACAAATTATAGATGAGATAGTAGTGTGTTTTATTCAACTTCTTGTCAGATTAGATAAATTCATAAAAGACTACAAGGCAATACCATAATGTTTAAAGCTAGCTACTCCTAAATAACTGTTCCATTGGTCCCATGTTTTGCAATAGGTTTCTATATGTACAATCTTACTAAATTTTTAGGTTTCTATATGTGCAATCTTGCTATTTTTTCGAAGTAAATGTCATTACCTAGTAATTGGTCTTTAGGATGTGTTAGGGGTTAGAGAGAAACTTAATTCTCTAATAGCTATTCGAGTCCATAAATCTTCCTACCCATATACTTGAAATCTTCAATAAATCATGTGTACAATTAAATTCTCCTAAAATGAATATCAAACTTCTCGTAGAGAGATGATTTGGCCAATGGTGACCGAAAGCAGTGTCAACCTTTGAGATATTTTATTTGAACACGGGAATTAACAATTAACTAATTTTTGAATATCAAACTTCATATTTCCTATAGAAATATGATTCTTGCAAGTTAGATGTTTGAAACCTAAAATAAGAAGAGGGCATCGAAATAATTAATCCCACGAGAAATTCAATCCCTAGTTCAAGAGAAAATATTTTTACTTACCTCCACCCCTTGAAATATCTCAACAATTCTTGGTCTTCTCTTTCCTCCTCTGCCTCTACTTCTCTTCTTCTTCCAGATCTCCAGATCTTGGTCTTCTCTTTCCTCCTCTGCCTCTACTTCTTTTCTTCTTCTTCCAGATCTCCAGAGACGAGTTTTTCTCTCTAAAAATATGGTCGTAAACAGCGTGAGAGGGAGAGGAGAGGAAGATTAGGGTTTCACAGGAAAGAAGCGTGGGAAAGAAGGGGAGGAGAGAGAGGATTAGAATTTGATTCGAATTTAATTGGGCATAACCCGTGTAAAACTTAAATTATTTATTTGACCCAACACCCAAAGGGATCAAGAAGAAAGAGGCGAAATTTTTTATTGTAATGTCATTACATCGAGTTGGGTTAGGAGTTGCGTTGCTTGTTTATACCGCAGTTTAATTTATTTCCTCATACAATTCTATATGATTTACAAAAATGAATTAATAATTCTTTTATTTGATTCGGGTTGCAGAAGTGAGTCCGACCTTTTGAGCAGTGCGGGACCTTAACCCAATTCTACTATCCTTTGCCATCTTTGCTGGGCCTCAGAACTTGGGCTTTGTTCATGAACTTATGATTCTGCCCTTGCTCAGCCCGTGTGGAGGGTATTGGGCTTGGCTGTAGTCTCGTGACTCGTCATGCCCTTATTTTCCTTAGTGGAAGAAAATTCCCTCCACACCAATTCCTTCCTAAATTGGATAACAGTCTCAACTCCATAGCTATTTATGCTGACTATGTTATAACATTTTAAAAATATTGTTGAAAGACAACCAAAAGCAATATAAAGAACTCATTATCATGATAGCGAATAAGGTAAGTCTTTTGATCCAACGTAATGAAAAAACAACCATAGCATTCATTTCAAAACATCAAAACAATTCAACGTAATGAAAAAACAACCATAGCATTCATTTCAAAACATCCATGGAATGGTGTTAATACCATAGCAAAAGTACATATAACCATGGCAAAACAACCAAAAGAAGCAAAAAGAACATCGTCTCGAGTAGCAAATATAAATATAATTCATGCTATATATTTTTCTGTCACATAACAATCCACTAAAAACACTAAAGATTTTTCACTAATGCCTTCTTCCTATTGTCAGGTACTCTTAGAAATACACCCCTCCAAATTGCATCATTCTGAAATCTTTCTACTGCCTTTACATAACTAGTATCATCAATGTCATCCAGGGTGTTTAATGCATCAATGCATTCTGTGATTTTCGCTAGTTCCTTCTCATTTTGTGCCTCCAAATTTGGTCCGCTGTCAACTGTAGACCCAATTTTTGAGGAAGAACCAGGCACCAATGCCTTCTCCATTACTTCAACCATTCTTTTGTTATTTTCATTGTAAGCAACTAAAACTTGATTGATAATGCCTGTGAAACTCTCTCTCTCTTCTTCATGACAAACTTTTGGAGACCGACTCCGAGGTCGAGAGACTTTGACAATGCCTGTGAAACTCTCTCTCTCTACTCCATGACAAACTATTGGAGACTGACTCTGAGGTTGAGAGACTATCTCGTTGTCATCATCATTGTTTGGCCCCTCATTGTTATCACTAATTGATGGGCTTTTTGTGGAAGGATGTGCATAAACACCGCTTGCAGTCGCCCCATCAAAAATGAAGCACAACTTGTCATATTGCTTACATCCTTTTCTTTTGTACCTCTTGCAATTCTTAATTACCTACAAGTAAAAAATTCTCATTAGCATTATTTGATCTTTTGACTATTGAAGAAGTAAAAAGAGTAAGGCTCGAGAGAGCCCTCTCATGACAAGAGCCATGAGCTGTCTCTATTAACCACTGGATTAAAAAAAAAATATAGATTTGTGAAAAGTCAAATGAATGTTTTAGTAAAGAGAGGTGCTACCAAGAGAGTAGCCCTCGTAAAGCTACCCGCGAGCTCTCTTTTTCAGCCACAAGATCAAATGCATTTTAGAGATGTGTAAAATTAGGGACTCCAACAAAAAACGGCGTTTAAAGGTTTCTCTCTCTAAAACCCACCGTTTCTCGCTCCTCACCATCCCACCCTCTTCCATCACCTCCGCCTCCCCCACACAACTCTCTCTCTACAGTCTCAAGCTCTCCACTGTTGTCTGCAGTCTCCAACAGGCAACAACCCACCAATTGATTTTAAGTTCTAATCCAAATCACTCAACTCTATTCACGATAACTCTTAAAATTTTTGAAGTTACCCATCGAAGACCCAACCTAAGTACCAACAAACAAAAATGTTCCAATTAATTCAATGAAAGAAAAGGTATGTTAGATGGTTTAACAGGAGTAATATATCACATCCATATTTGATCACACCTTCCACTAGATTTCATTCACCGACTCCCTGCTCAAGACAACCATTTTTTAGAAAAAATGGACCCAGTTTAATACCCATACTCCATCTCCATTTGAGTAATAATGGCACAGTTTACCGCATTTTCAATAACCACAAATAAAAAACCCAAAACAGAGACCACACATATTTATCAATGAATTCTTGTCAAAAATTGGTATATATAAAAATAAAAATAAAAAAGGGTCAATCTGACATTATTGTAGAAGGAAAATCACACAATATCTCTGAAAAAAGATCGGGTCATGCCTTATTTGCCAATATAGAGTCAGTTTCATCGTATGGTTAGATCCATAGAGAGGGGGAAAACTTTTCACTCGAGGGAGACACAGAGAAGGAAGGTGATGCTTTTTCTCGATATTTATTTTCAGCGCAAAAGATTACACCGTTTGTTTGCTGAATTTGTGTTTTTTCGAATCCCCGTTTGAATTGTGCGGCTGAAAAAGAGAGCTCGTGAGAATTTTAAGAGGGCGCTCTTGTAATAGCACCACTCTTTAATAAATCTTTTAATCAAACGCTCAACAAAGAGAGCTCGTCACTCTTGTCATGGAAAGGTCACTCAAGTAAAAAAAAAATATCTTTACTGACCTTAGACAACCTCTCCCACCTCTCATCATCAAGTACCACCATGCCTGTGGTCGGATTGAAATGAGCACCGCTTTGCTTCAATAGATATTTGAAAACCTTTTGGATAGTCCTTAACAAGTTAAATTTGTTTCTAAGTTGGGTCTTAGTAAAAACCCTTCTTGTCACTTTTTTCATACCCTCTATTATGTTTTTCCAACCCAAATTAGAAAAAGTTGCTTGGTTTCTGTTTCCCTTTTTCACTTCCTCCACCATTAAGTCAATGAAAGCTTTTTCATTCTTCTCTTCCCAAATTTTCTTACCATCAACCCCTACCTCTTCAATCTCATTGTCATCCACATTTCCAATAGCAACATTTCGTTGAGGTAGATGTGGATGTGAATCCATCTAATGGTTCAAGAGGCAGATGTTAAAATCAAAACGAAAAATGAAGGCACAAGTAAAAATAATTGAATTAATTCAATGGGGCAAAAAATGTGTGGATGTGTGTTGAATAACTTTAAAAGGAATTTGAAAAAAAAAATGCAAGAGAACTAAAACACAAAAATAAAAATAAAAGTGCTTCAATCGCATTGCACAGTTACAGGGATTCAGTTAGATGTACTAATATTTTTACTATCAGATTTTATAACTTCCTCAAGCCACAGTAAAAGAGTTTTTTTTTTTTTTTTTTAAATATCTTGTCACCTCCATTTTTAGGGAAAATCTTCCCAGCCTAAATTTCTAATGTAGCAGTTAAAAAGCAGCATAACAAGTAAATTAACAAATACGCAATAAGAAAAAGGTAAGAAAAAAGAAATCAAAGCAAAAAAAAAATGTACAACTAATTGAAACATAAACAACAGAGATTTCGACCAATATATATAAACATGCAAAAGATTATATCAGAGAAAAAAATAGAGAGATTTTAATAGCAGAGGAAACTTTTACCTGCTCCGAGGACAGTTAGATCTATGTATGTAGAAGCTGAATCTGCATAAACAGTAGACATATATACTTTATTATGTTAAATTATGGTTCCATTTTGACAACTTTGTTGAAAGAATATGAGATTCAAAGAGAACGAAGCGTGATAGCTCGATCGTAACTGATATCTTACACAAGTCGTCGGAGAGAAAGATTCAATCTCCGATGGCTTGACCTGATCTCCGAATAAATCGTATATCGCCGTTGAATTTCCGACAGCTTTGTCGATCGAAGAGCTCTGGTCTTTCTCCAATCGAAAGAAGAGTGGGAGTAAGAACAAGGGATTTGTGTGTGTGAGAGAGAGAGAAGTGCAGGTGACGTCTCAATCTACGAGAGAAGAGGATCGAACGGCACAAGACGTGCCGCGTAATGAGTTTGAAAAGAAAAAGGATATCATGTCGTCTGCAAAACTGACGTTACGTTACGTCTTCACGTTTTAGTAAATCTTCTCAATCTCAATATCAAACGTGTCAATGTGGTTTTTTTTTTTTTTTTTGTCAATGATAAAAAAATAATAATAATAATAATAATAATAAATTATACATATTAATATGTTTAATAACTTATTTGTCGAGAGATTATATTGTTTATTGTTTGATAAAATTTAAAATTAAACATTCAGTGATAAATGATATTCTTATCATTTAAAATTTTATCTACTTACGTTTAGCATTTTTAGTGTATTCAAATTGCAATTAATTTTGAATAGATTAATAGTTGAATTGAATTACCTCAATATATATATATATATATATATATATATATATATATATATATATATATATGTCTTAATCCATAATATAATAAATTAAAATGTACTAATTTAGATATTTATTACAAAACCCAATTAATAATAACAGCTAAGGAGTTAATATATATTTTTATGACAGTTAAGAAGTTAATGTATATTTTTATGAGTGTTTACATTGAAATGATTTAATTGTCTATAGTTAAACGAGAATAAACAAGTTACACAAATTAAAATCGTAATACGACACGGGTTAAAAACGTGTTGGCTTATTTGCATTTGCCACCCTTACCTCCAGCCCACTCTTTTCTCTCTCTAGTCATAAATTAGGCCTGCAATCCAAATATGAAATGTGAAACTATAAGAGCATATCCGATGGACAAAAATTTGGAGATTTTGGGTCAGGTTTAGATATTGGACTATTCTAATGGGGTCGCCAAAAATTAGGCCCCACCCAATGGATAGCGGAATGGGTCGTGGTATTCCGCGACCCTGTTGGCGAGCCGCGGGTCCACATCCATTTTCTTTTAATTTTTTTATTTTGGCCCAAAACTGACATTTAGCCTAAAAAATTGTTCCTAAGGGGGCATGTTCGCCAGAAAAAAAAAGGAAAAAAATCAATTTTTTTACTAATTTTGGTCTCTCTTTTTTTTTCCTCAAAATAATTGAACAAATAGCCGTTAAGGCACTGCTTAGCTGAAGTGCCTTAAAGGCTTCTTTGGGAAAAAAAAAAAAATATATATATATATATATATATATATATAAGTGCTTTTTTTTATAAAAAAAAATTATTTTTTAAAATATTCCTACTGATATATAGCCGTTTTAGGCACTGTTTGGGTCAGCCAAACAGTGCCTTAACAACTATATTGGCACAAAAACCTATTTTTTGTATTGTTTTTTATTTTTATTGTATTGTTTAAATTTATGTCATATCGTATTATTTTTAATAATAAATAATGTATTGTTGTAATTTTTTTTTTATGATATAGCCGTTTTAAAAATATAGCCGTTAAGAAAAAGTTAAAAAATAAAATTTATTAAAATTTTAAATAATATTAAAATATTAATATTTTTGGAGAGCGAAAATGCACCATTGGAGTACATAATACGATAGCTAAAATTTGAAGATCTAAAACGCTAACGTGACTATAGAAAATGTTGACGTGGCTATTAAAAAATGCTGACGTGGCAGATTGAGAGAGCCAATTGGAGATGCTCTAATTGACTTCCAAAATATGAAATCTTGTAATTACTATTTAAAAAATATACTCAGTTATTTAAAAAAATACTCGTAATTATTTGCAAGGCGCATGGTAGATAATAGTAATTGGGAACATTAAATTGGATAGGTCACTTGGTGCGACTCTTTCAATTTCTTATTATAATTAAAGAAATATTAAAAAAATGTATATAAATAATAAAAAAATATTTACACTTTTATTTATAAATACCCATTCTAGATGAATGATATTTTATTTTCATTTGTCATGTAAACTTATTCGATTTAGTCAACTTCATAGCTGACTGAATCTCCATTACCTCTAGAAAATTGAATCTGCTATATGATCATATCATAAGACAACAAAACCATAAGTAAGTATCCAATGTTTTCAAAGCCTGCCAACCATTGGATCTCAATATCTCATATAGAGCAAGAAAAGGAAAAGAAAACAAAAATGATCTTATATTGAAGAAACAAAGTACCAAATGACATTTGAATGTTAAAAGTTCGCTTCCAAGTCTTAGCTCACAAAATCTAAAATCCCAGATAATAGTAGAAATTAGATGATGTAATTTGTTGTGAAGCCTAGGCCAATTTCACCGTCCTTTACTTCCCCCCAACACTGAAATAATCCAGGACAACTTTCTTTCTCAAGTAAAACTTTAAATTACTTGTTAACCTTACCGGGAAAAATTGGGTTGGGGGACGAAGAAGAAGAAGAAGAAGAAGAAGAAGTGAAACTCCATATTTTCATTCTATGCATCATCTTCTTTCTCAATCAGTATCCTCTTGCATGCCTCGTAGCACATGAAAGAAATCCCGGCAGCAGGAACCAATTTCATGCAGCTTGGCCCCAACCCTCTGTACAAACCTGGGACACCCTCTGTTTCAAGTATGCTCATGAGGGCGTGAAGCATGTTCTTGTATTGTCTGCCATTTAAAGCCCCGGCTTGCATATGCTTCCGGGCCACCTCAAGTGGGAAAGTTGCAGTACTTGAAATTGCACCAGCTGCTGATCCAATTAAGAGTGTTGCAATGTTTCCGATTTCGTCCTGGTTCAACACTTTCTTGTAAGCTTTTCGCAATGTATCATAAGCATAATAATTGGTGGCAGCATACGGAACTACTCCGATAAGACTTGGTGTGAGGCCTCTATATAGTTCTGCAGGTCCCTCCTCTTGCACAATTTGCAGAAAAGCATCTAGAAGATTTTTGTACACACCTCTCTGCAAAAAGATGATATCTGTGAGTAAGAAAGATGAATAAAATTTATAATGAAAAAAGTGACATCTAAATGCTCTTCCGTATACCTGGACAGTTAGTCGGGTTTTCAGTAACTCAAGCGGGTAGGTGAATAAAGTAGAGCTAATTCCAGCAACAGCACCTGCAATTGGAGATGCAGGTATAGGTAGTTTGGACTGTTCTCCGGGTTTAGGTGTAAGTTGCTTCCTAACCGTATCATAAGCAAATAACTGTAGAAAGGTACATCCACAAAAAGAGTTTCAACAGAAAGAAACAAGAGAGTATAACCACAAAAACACGACAGCACAATTTGATAGTTGAATTAGAATTTTAGAGCAAAGAAACCTCCATCCTTTTGACAATAACAAATGGTTTGGAACTCTATTAAGAACTCAACGACAAATGCAAGAAAGAGAACATATCTCCACCATTTAGATGAGAATTCATATCCCTTGGTGGCAATTTTTAGCAAATTGTAAGAACAAAAACTATGCAGCTTGTCAACGCAAGGCAGATAATTCACACAAGGCAAAGATGAGCAACGTGATCTCATGACTCCTTTTTAGCCATTCAGTTAATTTTCTGACGTGTATATGGAAACGTGAAAACAGAACATGATTATAAGTATGAAAGAAATGGGTAATGGTACTCAAAAGTACACCAAATGTCAGCCAAGGGGAGATGAAGTCACACACACACACAGGGAGAGGGAACTGGGAAGCAGTGACCGATGCTGAAAATTGAAATTGAAATTTAAGAGAGAGCTGGGAAGCAGTGCCCGATGCTGAAAATTGAAATTAATCATGCAGAGGTAGCTAAGCTGGGGCCTTTTATTATTATTTTTTTTTCAGGGTAAAGGAATAGTAATAAGAAAAACGGTTATGATAGACTAAGGATAAAACAAGATTTCACGGTACCTATCGTAAGAAGGGTTGTAACAGTATCGCATCCCAAGTATAAAGGGTGTAACAGATAAACAATTAAAAATTAATTTTGAAATGACACATGAATTATTTGCTTTTCATGGTAAAATTTCAGTCCGGGGGGGAGGGTGATGATGATGAATGACTGTTTGGTAGAGTAGGAAAGCTACTTAACTCAAATTTCACTGATTGGAGAGAATTAAATCTAGGTTTATAATAAAGAGTAACAAGAGGGGGAAATTAATTTTGGGGAGAAAGTACATGAGAAATGCTGATAACATTACAAGGGCAGATTTGCTGGATGAAAAGGCACAATTTGCATATTGCAATTTTTCACTGTGATGAGTCCAAATATGGACCAAAGGATACTAGTCCATTCAATTTCAAGAAAAAAAAAATAGTATCACAATATACGAAATAGAATTGAGAAGCTCAGCTAAAGAGAAATGTTAGATACCCGCATTCAACTCGCATTTAATATTTATGTGATAAGCCAATGCACTAATACCTACCAAAAAGAAAAATTATGCACTACTAGTTGTCAACAGAACTATGCATGATAGTTTATGGTGGTAGTGTGGCACTATTGAGTTGTAAATATATATAATTGGGATATTATCATACACTGCTATTAGTGAATATTTCCATGAACCTACCGCTCTATTCCTCAATTACTGAGAAGCGAAAATGCCTATTTAATTTTGTCCAGCAAACATTCTGGCAAAACTTTTTCAGTATCCCTGCATAATGTACATGAGCACACAAGGGTTCATGCTACAAGTGTGAAGGATCATCAGAAGATAAGCTAAAGGAGCACATGTTGATAACCATAATTAAGTAATAATGTGAGAGTGTTTATCAACCACCAAAATATAGCCATATCAAACGACGAAATCTTTTGTTCCAACATTAGGGATAATCGTGATGGTTTGTTTGTTGTATGTATCCATAAGGACCTCCAGAACAAATGAAGTAAAAAGTATAGCAGCTTCCCTCTAATTCTAAAATCCCAAAGACGGCAAGCCCATTTGCCTCCATAGCCAAAATTTTGCCAAACATCAAAATTAACAAGAATCCACCCATTGTCCTTGATAGAAGTTGATTTTAATGGCCACTATCTAGAAGGGCTATAAAACAGATGCCAAGAAATACTAAAATAAAATTTTAGTATTTTACCACAAAAAATTAAACAAATATCATTTTTAAACACAAAGGGTAATATACACCATACTAGCAAAACTATACCCCAACTGAGCAATCAATCAACCACCAGAATGTCTAACAACAATAACTAATTTTTTTTTCTGTAAGTAATATTTATTATTTCAAATAATTTAAGTATACCACGGTAAGAAGCATAAAAATGAAAAATAAAAATAAAAATAAAATAAAGATTCTTTTCATACCTCGATTGCCTTGCTTGGTGCAACCCTGATCACATTAACAAAGTTACCCCTAAATAGTCCCTTCCAACCTTCGGTATTCATGATATTCTGAAACACTGCAGTGGTCGAGTGTCCACAACTCCCTACCATCAAGTGTGTCCTTATTGTCTCCAATGGTGCAACTGCTGTCCGTGATACAGCACCGGCAATTGCCCCGCTGATCAACCTTCTCAGCGACGGATTCTTAATCTTAATTTTCAATTTAAGACCACTCCTCTTTTCCTTCTTCAGCAACCCTTCCTCTCCTGTCTCTCTTGCCTCCCCTCTCACCAGTTCTGGTATCCCAACAATCTGAAAACCGGATTCCGGCACAGATAGATATTTGGCTGACAAATTTGCATATGGCAGCTTTACACCATTGTCTGTAGAATTCGGTGGATTTTGGGATGCCCCAAATCCCAATCCCATCTGCCCAACGCTTGCAAATAAACCACCATGGTGAAAAGAATCGTCTCGGCGACACCATAGAAACCCAATTCCAGAATTAGACAATAACCCATCTCCATTATTTTCAAAACTTTGCAAGCTTTTTCTACCCATAAGATCAAGCTTATAAATAAGTTTTCTTATAAGTTATGTATATGGTTATGTATAATAATACCCAACTGGTTTTTAAAGAATCGTATGATTTGAGGCTTCAACTTTATATCTATATATAAGGAAGACAAGGATTGCAGAGGGCAAATGGGTATAAAAAAATAGTGGGCTAAAAATCGAATCTTTAGTGGAATGAAAGAATTATATACTAATATAGTTATGAATTAACAATAAGGCGATAGAAAAAAATATATGATATTGTATGGTATGACTCGAGGATGGGCGAAGATTACCAGGTGGATTTCATGGGAAAAAACCCTAAACAGTTGAAGCTCTTGCTTTGTGTGGCTTCTTTGCTCTCTTCTCTCTCTGAGCAGAGACGCAAGGGATGGTACATATATCGAAATAGCAGAGCGCCTTTTCTTGCTTTACTCTCCAAATAAGAAGAAAGTTGTCCCTTTGCGCGCAAAGAGAACTAAGGATTTGGTGGGATGGAAATTAGGTATTTAAAGTATAAAAATCACTATTTCAGTCAAAATTGTAAATTTTCCATTAATTGGTATTAATTTGACGAAACCAGTGGGGTGCTGGACTTATGATCACGCCTTTGACAGAACCTGTAGGCTGCTGTAAAATTATTTTTTTTAAAGTGAGGCTGCTGGACTGCAATTGCGACTTGCGAGATTCAGAGAGAGTAGACGTATGGGAGAGAAGTTGTTTCAGGACTTTGGTTTGAGGTTTCCTGTGCTTGGATATAAATTTTTTTTTTTTTTTTAATTTTTTAATTGTCATAAGATATTTATTGATAAAAAATATTAAAATTTAACAAAAAATAATTCATTCATTAATTTTGGACAAGCTATTTTACAGGTCCGTCTTGTCTTATGTACTTGATCTCAATATCAACTTAAACATTTGCCAAATACCAAAAATTAAAAATAAAAAATATATTTTATCTGAAAAATAAAAATATTTTTCGAAAACGTTGAAACAAATGAAGCCTGAATGTAAAATATTTTTAGATATATATATATTTATTTATTTATTTATTTTTTTAGTGTTTTGTTATAGTAAAATATTTTTAAAAATATATCTATATTGATTTTTTTAGTATTTGGTTATAGTAAAATATTTACTGCAATTAACTAAGGGTCTAGTGATATCTCCTCTACCTCTCAAAGTAAATGATGAGAGTCAAGTCTTCAAAGGACTGAAGTGAGTGTGTGAGTCTCTTGCGAATAACCAAAAAAAAAAATATATATATATATATATATAGTAAAATATTTATAAAATATATATATATATATATATTAAAACTTAAAAATAATAATTTATTCTTCAATATTTAAGAAGTTATTTTACACCTCTTACCTGATAGACTCCACCTAGACTTTTACCAAATTCCAAAAAATAAAAATAAAAATTATATTTTACCTAATATATATATATATCGAAAAATATATTGGAGTGGAAATATACAGAACCTTTATTTTTACTGTAACGTGAATGTCAAAGCCGAATTCCTATCAAGTGAGAGAGCACTCATATCCCTATTTAAGTGAAAGAGCACTCATATAACAGATATATATATATAGAAAAAAAAATATTTGACATGGAAACAAACAGATTTTTACTGTAACGTGAATGTCGAAGCCGAATCCCTATTTAAGTGAGAGAGCACTCATATAACAGTTATAGGTTCACGTTGGAAAAAAAAAAAAAAAAAAAAAAAAAAAAAAAAAAAAAAAACTCATACAGAATTGAAAAAAAAAATTATTATGATTCCAATCCCCCTCGTTCCTCATCTCTTTACTAATAAAGTATAAGATAAATTTTGTAATTGAAAATTGTTATTAATTAATCCTCTTCAATTTCAGTCCATATCTTATAAGTAGGAGGATCCATTATTTTGCATAAATGCCTTAATTTCCCTTCTTCTTTTTTTTTTGGTGGGGGGGAGGGGGTTTGGGTTAAAAGAAGTGGGGAAAGCGGGGCTGTAAATATATATATATATATTTGATAAGTAAAAGCGGGGCTGTAAATATAAAATCACAAGGGAAAGATGTTATTGACAAACTGTGGTGACGTTTCTGGTAAATAAATCTTTTGTAATTGTCATCTATAATAAATCACTTATAATAGCTTTATTGCCACAGAATTAGGATAAAAATGATATTTCTGTTATTGATGGGACCCCCTGTAACAGACAGAATTCTGTCCAAGAGAAATCAAAAAATATACTACCATATTGATTTCATGCCACACGAAGAAGAATGCGATAGAATGGAATAGCATGGACTATTGTCTCACCACATGTAAATATGTGACTCACTCTTCTTCACTGCTACTACTATTCTTTATCCTTGCATTGATACAGCGAAACATGTGTGCGCTTTAAATATACTTGTCGACATTTCACACAACTGGTCAACCTTGAACCTGATATAACACAATATTTTGATTGTTTCTCATATATGACGATCAAATGAGTCTCAGTCATTTTTATTATGGTAAGGCCTGCTATTAAAAGTTTCAAAAATATATTCTTACAAACAAAAGTACCTTTTCACACACACACACATATAGATATATAGCCCAAGACAGAACCCTACCCTTACCCCTTGCAGGATAATACCCAGGTGGCTCTTATCAGTGAAGAACCTGGGTGTATTCAGTTCCAACCAGAGTGTCTGCTTGTTCTTCAAATAAAATTGAAGAACCATGGAATGGTCTGTGTGTTTGTGTGTGTGTGTGTGAGAGAGAGACTTGTACAATAAATGAATAAAGCATACCATTTTCCCCAAAAATAAAATATGAATGCAAGTTAACTTACTATGATAACATTATCTCTTCCCCATAAAACAAACTTGTAGTGCCTAATACAAACTCCAGGATCCAATATAGTCCAATAGATTAATTTCATTTTGATTTCCCTTTTTTTTGAAGATCCTTTCTTTGAAGTTTTCCTATTAGGTTTCTTCATCGGTTTCAACTTGCTTGAGGTTGATGTAGACTTCCCATGTTGATTGTTTCTTTTCTTCTCCTTCTTCACATTATACATGTTAACAGCCCGTTTTCCACGTGATCCAAGTTCAGAGAGAAACAAAATTTATTTATCCACAAGTAAAGGAAGCTCAGAGTATTAACTGCTATAAAAATAAAAATAATAATAATAATAAATGTAAACTGATGGTTTAGGAATACCTTTTCAACATTGAGTATATAATGTGAATTTTTGGAGATAAGCTTGTTCAGAACTTTCTCAGTTTGCTGCTTCTCTAGCGAGCCCATTCCTAATCCTTCCACAACTGGAAGGAACTACACACAAATATAGGGGGGAAACATATTCCATAAGCAATTGCAATGAAGGCGTTGGCATGGTCAGGGACTTGGGTATTAGTGTACAAACCTTCCGATACTTCTTTTCATGTTTTGGTGGCTTTTCTCCTGGTAACTTTTTGTCAAACTTCCCACCACTAGCTGTTGCTGTTGCTGTCATTCCTGCTACATTTTGTAGTTCATCTTTACTGACTTTTCTAGGTTCCGCTTGTGTTCCTGTTATTGGCAAGGCCGTGGCAGCAAGTTGAACATGGCTGCAGAACAAACCTTATTTAGTTCTTGAAGTCACAATGCAAGTAAATGAAAAATGCTTTGATTGGCTACCACACCCACACACATGCAAATACAAATACACAAAGGAGGCAGTAGCTGCTAATATCTCTACGAGTCTGCTATACAGAAGTCCATTGACAGGACCTCCAAATATATCTAGTTGAACATGGCTGCAGAACAAGTTCAGGTCTTATTTACCGGGGAAAAAAAAAAAAAAAGGTTCAGGTCTTGAAGCCACAATGCAAGTAAATGAAAAATGCTTTCATTGGCCACCACACCCACACACGTGCAAATACAAATACACAAAGAAGGCAGTAGAAGTTAATATCGCTACAAGTCTAAGAGGAGTCCAGTGCTCTACAGAAGTCCATTGACAGGACCTCCAAAGATATCTAGTAGGCTAGAACCCCAAAACAAGACAACCAAACAGTAAATGTCTCCATCTGATTGTGTTGAATTTCTTATTAAATATTAAAAAAAATCAAAATACCAAAGAGCTAGTTGGTCTACTTATACAGAGAAGGGACAGGGACAACAAGGTTCAATTGAGAAAGTTGTCTAAACGACACTGCTTGGGTGGCATCATCCGATAAATGACTTCTTCTATTGTACCGTTAGAACTAAAACAAAATCAATCATAAATTACTTGGGAGAATAATGATGCAGTTGAAAAGTTCAGAATGAAGTTTCCTTCTGCCATCTGGAATTATTCAGATCAAATCCAGAAAGGTTAAAAGTAAGATTTTAGTTGTCATAATCATACATAAAAATTACATACGATCATTTATAATATATGCCTGTAAACTACACATTATCATATTACTCTCGTGACAGATATTACATAAAAGTCAATATGTTTTTTACCAGAGAAAAGTCAAATACATTCACACACTCAAAGTTGAAGAGGCGGTATTAAAAAAGCTAACAAGATAGTCAATATGCACTAATGTGCTTTAAAAGTAGGGATATCACATGCTCACAGAAAGAATGCAAAAGTAAAAGTCATCAATGTCTAAGAGTGCTATCATGGCATCCGGCAAGAAGCAAGGTAACCTTATAATTGAACAATATTGAGTTCTCTTTTTAAGTAAGCAAGCAATATTATTTATAATAACTATAAACAGCAGTTGCCATAATAACATTGGTCTGAATTGAGGAAAGCTATGCCGGGACTTCACACCCTACAGAAGGGGTCCACTGAACAACGAACAGCCAAATTTGAAAGCCAAAATTTGATGATTAGGAAATTTAAGGAAAACCAAAGAGAAAACTTCAATGTCAAAAACTCCAGATAAATGGTTGAGACTAAAACCTTGGCAGGGCACCAACTTTTGCAGCTTGTTTCAAGTTATGCAATCGATGCTTCTCCTGTTTTTCAACTCGCTGCTTCTTTTCTGCTCGTCTATTAGCAAAAGGATCCTCTCCTGGCTCTGAAATAGGTTTTACAATTATGATTATTTCAACATATCACTACTGTATGGCAATTCGAGGATCATGGAAATTCTGATCGCTATAGTATAAAATGTAGAAGAAGATTATGATCTAATTTTTAAGATATTGTTTCCATTTGACGTACTAAAAGTTTGACTTATTCAAATTGTTTTCCAATGAAAGATCGGAGTAAAAGGAAATAATGGCAATAAGAGCTTAATAGGACTAGCAACAATGGCAAATTCAACTATTTACCATCAGTCATCTTTGCCTCAATGATGGGTATATCTTTGTCATTGTTTACACGATCGTAGCCATGGCGACGCTTCCAAGTACAAGTTTGTTCATCAAACACAAGCTTGTCCTTTTTGCGCTTTACTATACCTGCACAAGATTGAAGAAAGATAATCAATCATATTACTTTCAACAGTAACTATGCTAATGCAAGGTCTCAGCCTTTGATATATTCCATCTGACATCCCAAAAATTGACCAAATTGACCTCTTTCATACTCAAATATTTAATTGCCTATATAGGCAGCTGAGCTTGTTGTTAACTAACCCTTTTTTTTGGCAAACTCCTCCCATTTTGTTGGAGGTTTACACTTTGGCAACTAGAAAGAACAGTGTAATTGAGATAAGCAATTAACTTTTAATGCTAAACATGAGAAGTCAGAAACTACCAAAACCTCAAACAAATTCAATCCTTGAAAAAGAAAAGGTAAAAGCAAAATTAAAGCTAATCATCAGTAAAGTAGTAAGATTTTTCTTTTTTTCTTTTTGTTGTTGTTGTTGTCGTCGCAAGTAGTAAGATTTTCTTTTACCTTTTTATTTTTACTGGTATCATTAACTAGTAAGATTTGTTGCCTCAAAATCATGCACTCCAAATGGAAAAGAGGGCTACGCTAGCATGAGTCAAAATTCAGAACCAGTTAACAGATTATACACCATCTCGTTGTCCCCCTGTTTATCTACTAGATAATGCTTCAGACATCATTTAGGGCATCAAAGTTATGCATGTAATTGAAATGTCTGTCTTTCACAAACCAAATGTTCTATTATGCCCTCTTAATATTAGAAACGAGTCAAAATTCATTGCAATCATACAATCACAAAAAGATTCCATGAAATACATCAATTATCTTTTTGCCTCGGTTGTGACATTAATTCCATTTCAAAGATTTCTTTCTAAAGGATCGATACAACCTTGAAATTGGTTAACAACTGCGCAATAGAATCAAAACAAAACTTAGACTAAAAAATCAAGTGGGAGAAAAACAAGTCTTTGAACTTATATTAACCAACATCTTATATGAGCATTTGCACAATGTTATATAAGGTAGACCCTTTTACCAGGAGGCAATATCTTTCACATAACATTGTTAAGATGTCCCACCAAATTCAATGGGCTTTTTACTTTTACATTGGGATATTATGTTGTCAAATGTGTAGAATCTCGAGAGATAAATCTACATTGAGTATACCATTCTACATGAGGAAAAGGCACCATAATAAGGAGATGATACTTGAGGAAAGGCTACTTTTAATAGATTTGCCAGTTTCAATGAGCAAATATCATAAAAGAAATTATGAAAGTTTCCTATACTATAATCAGATACAGTTTATGAAAGTTTATATATGGTATAAGATCAATACAAATGTGGTTGCATTGCTTTAGAAGATGTCCTACATGTTTAAAAAAAAAAAACGGAGTATTTAGCATCTACATTAACAAATCCTTGTACTTTTTTATTGTTGTACATTGAATGATTAATTCCAACACTTTTCTAGAATACGTTACGTGGACTCGAGTACATATATTGAATGCGGATATATATCCAAGTGTCAAATTTATCAAATCTCCAAACTCAATGACAGGGAGACATGGATTAATATTCATGTTCTTAAATAATTTTCATTTATTTTCCAGAGTAAAATAATGTTTCACTCGTTTTAAAGAAATAATATAAAGAAGAGAACATACTAAGAACCATGTTCAAGCATTGTGTGTCCAATATGAGTACATCTTACATTTTTAAGAGCCCATGTATCATAGTTTCCAAGTATGGAACCATGCTTCACTGCAATAGAAAAATCAATAACTCTATTGATAAGCCACTGACATGAAGGCAGTCCGTGAACCCATCCATCAAAAGGAGACACTTATTACCCTTTCATTCAAACTATGCTGCCCTAGCGAAGTGAAAATATACCAGTACTAAAAATCAATATTAGCCACCATTTAAATTTGTCATAGCCAATAATTCTGAAATTTACTCCACTTTCATATTATGTAGAAAACATATCCTCAAAGAGGCATATCTTATATTTGACACTGAAACATTATATAAATGCTATGCCACAAATCAGTTTCCTGTTCATTGTGGAACAAAGCCAACTACTTTTCCTTCTGAACATTATTTACCATGTAAAATGATAGTACTTTGAACTATTAATTGTTAATGCAAGTATACTAACATAAATGGCAGGATAAATGGTCCATAAAATACCTTGATAAATAATTTTCACCAGATTAGGGAGGCTAAAAAGGAACATTGTAATTTTCATTCAAACATGAGGAAGATGGTTCTAACGGTACAAGTTATAAAGCCATATATATTTCCTATTGTGCAAAAGGGAGATTATGCAAAATCAAATCTGTAGAAAATAATTATCTACAACAAATCCAGGAAGCAATCTATACACAAAGAACACACAAATATAGGACGATAAGAAAAAGAAAATAATACAGGTTTCTCTCTAGGCAATCTTGTTGTCGGTGGAGGCAACTTGACAATGGGGCCATTTGGGTCTTCAATCGAAGGTAGGTTGAAAAGAGGATCCGCAACTGCTTGAACTAACTTAGTGCCCTCATGCAGGCATTCTTTCGCTAGCTCCTCCCTAAGTATTCAAGGAATACATAATCTCAGTAAGCTATCCACAAACCATTATTGCTACCTAACACATTTTTCAAATAATTAAAAACCTCAGAAGACTAAAGGACAAATAAAATCAGAGTGCACGATCTTTATAGAACTGGCTCCTTGGAATTTAAGAGCTTTCAGTTAGGATGTTGAGCTCAAAATTGTGGATGTCTTACATGATCATGATCGTATATTTCATTTTTCATGCCTTTAGAAATGCACAAATAAAGAGTCTCTTCTAAAACATCCATAATACATCAAGAAGTGGCTCCTTTACAAGAAATCCAGAACTAACACATAATAAGGTACTTCATATCCTTCAAATATATTTATGCTACAGCCTCATCACAATTCCTAAAGCCCATTGAGTCACACAAAGAAATATTGAGGATTTGATGTGTTTAAAGCGCAGTTTTTACAAGTATTCATCTTTTCATTGATAAGAATCAAACCCTTAACACTACCCCTCCTGTTAAGATGTAATGTCAGCACTGTTACCACTGTGTTAGAACAATTTTGGCAAATAATTTCAAGTATAGCTTTACACTATTGCATAGCCCACCAAGATTGCACCAATTTCTGAGTTTCCTTATAACTTTACACTAAAATTTCCTCCAGTAATCCACATTCTGCTTATATCTATCATGCATCTTCAAAAATGTACCTACAAACTATAAGGGTAAAGGTGTTTACTGTCCCCTCATTCAGGACTTCTTGTTAAGAAATTCTCAGAAACTGAATACCATGATGTAAATTAATTCCAGTATATCCTCTCTCTTTTTCTTTTTCTTTTGTTTTTTTGAACAGATAAAGGAAATCATTTTTGTCACTTCCATAAGAGGGACTGTTTCTGTAAACACTTTTAAAAATCATTTTCAACTTCTAAAACTACTTTCCAAACCGCACTAAATTTCTTCGTTTTCAGAAAACAAAAGATGGATTCTAAAAATTGTAACCAAATGTGAATCTTCCCATACAATAAACAATTCAAAATACAATTTACTGTTCTTAAATTATAAAACAGTTTCCAGAGGAAGACAGAAAGAAATCCCCAAAAAAAAAAAAAAGAGTAACAAAATCAACTGTGCTTACTACAACTACATAGCTTAAGCCTTTGGCAATAGTATTTGAAGTTTAATACTGTACCTTTTTTACCAATATTTTTATCAATAAACAAATAGATTGCAGTGAAGACGGGAAAAGGAAAAACCCAACCTGGAAAAGGGAAGAGAGGGGAATTGGTGGTGAAGGTCGAAGGCCATGATATTGCCAAGGTCGATCTGGTACTGTTGCTGTGCCATCTCTCTCTGTCTCTCTCTCAACGAGACAACCAGGGTTTACAGAGTTTTTACTCAATTTTATTTTTTGGCAAGTGTTTTAGGGAAAATTGAAATAAAACCCCTGGACTATTTAAAATTGATAGAAAACCTCCTTCACTGAAAATTTAAACGTAAATCCACCACCCCGACTATCATACTTGAGTCTGTTAAAGGCAAATAAAATTACCAACATACCCATAAGTTATTGAATAAATAAAATAAAAATTTATAAAAAAATGTTATTTTGAAATTACTGTAATGCCCATTTGTTATAGGGTAGCCAACAAACAAACCAAGCCGATGGCTGATGTGGCAACACAACCATCTTCGTCACCATTAGCTTCTCTATCAGGTGCCAACGTATACATCACCCACCACACAAGTTTACACAGTAGATTTTATAAAAAAAAAAAAAAAAAGTTTACACAGTAGAACATGCTCCATTTTATTCCTTATTGTCTGTCTTCTTAATCTTACTTTTATTCATCTTCTCCGTAAAATGGGCTGAAAACCATTTTTATAAAATTACTTCCATAAAACCTAGGTCCATCAAAGCACACCCTGAAAAATTGTTTTATTACACCAACCATTAAGCATATATTTGTCAAAAAAAAAAAAGGGGGCCATTTACAAATAAATCCATCCCATACATTAGTTTTTCCCTTTTGGATAAATAAAAGCACACACATACATTCACAATTAACTTGTTCTGTTAATAGCTTCTTCGCTTCAAAGAGACAGCAAGACCTAATAAGTAATAAATATTTGTGTACTTTTCACAAGTTATTTTATAAAATCTAGAAGTTGTTCTATAAAATCTTATTAACATTTTAGAGGAAGGATGAGGAGGCCCTGGATGACATGGGCCAGGTCCGACTCGCAAAACACAACCTTCAGTCCGAACAGCTGGGTCAGCCCATAGAAAGACACTGCCATATGGGCCGAGCGGGAGTAAGCCCATCAAGAGTGACCAGGGCTTACTGAGGAATAGGCCCAGGTCCAGCAATTAGTAAATATCTTGTAAATATCTTGTAAATATCTGGTAAGTATCTATAAATAGGAGTTGGAATGAAGAGGAAGGGGATCTTGATTCGGGTTGAGGTGTAAGAATTCTAGAGAGAGAAAGAATAGAAGGAGTTTCTTGCATCTTCAATTGGCGCCGTCTGTGGGAAACGCATAAAAGTTTGGTTGATCAATGAGGAGTATCGAATGGATTCAAACCAATTCGGTTGATCGAGACTCGATCTTGCGGATTTGAATCCAGATCTGAGCGATTGTGACCTACTCTGGAGGAATTACGATTCTTGAAACTTTGGCAGGAGTGACTTCAGATCTACGCAACCGCGAGTTGCTCGATTGTGACAGGATCTGACGGATTTAGAGTCCAGGCAATTCAGATCTTGTAAACAGTGAGCATAATTCGGAGAATTAGAAGCCAGATCTAAAAATTCCTACTCACGAAGCTTAGATCTACTCGCGAACTTGAGATTAATGCCTTTACTCCGTTCGGGAATAATGATAGGTGAAAGCTCCAATCCGATGGAGGCTGTCCAGCAAACAAAGCTCGAAGAGTTGATGAATTTGATTGAAGCTCTCAGAAAAGAAAATGCAGAATTGAAAGCTGGATTGCAGCATCGGCAAATACCCGCAGTTTCGCATCCGCTTCCGGTCGGAGAAGGAGGTGTTCCATCTAGTATCGCGCATCAAGGCGATCAGAACGAGAACAATCAGTCAGCTCACCACCGTGATGAAAGGATGATGGACAATTCGCCGCCAAATGTTCGTCGAGTTGAAGATCACGAAGGCTCGACTCACGTTGATCCGCAGCGGGAAAGGTTTGACCGAGAGGAAGTGATGGAGGTAGATCGCCGTCGAGTAGCGTCGCCTTGGCAGAGAGAGTTCATAGAGGAACGGTCGTTCGATCCGTCTTACCGGCCCTCCATGGTTACTGTCACTCATCACGGTTCGGAGGGCAGAACCGTAACTCACAGAGCTACCGCTGGACTCCAGAGAGAGAATGAAGCTCTCCGATCCGCAGCTCGGACGGTGGATTCACCATTCACCGACGAGATCTTGAATGCGCCGCATCCAAGGAAGTTTGCTATGCCAGTCTTTATTCTGTTTGACGGAACAACCGATCCGATCGATCATGTGTATCATATCCAGTTAAAAATGGCCCTGAATACGGAAAACGACTCTTTAATGTGCAAATGCTTCCCTACAAGTCTGGCCGGACCGGCGCTCAGCTGGTTCAAAAACTTGCCTAGGAGCTCCATTGGCAGTTTCAGGGACCTGTGCGATCGGTTCATAAGCCAGTACTATGGGAACAAACGCCCGCCGAAGGACATCTCGAGCCTGTTCACGATGCGGCAACACAAGGATGAACGGCTCCAGGCCTTTCTTACCAGGTTTAATCTCACTAAGAGTATGGTAATCGAATGCCATCCTTCTACGGCAGTTCAAGCCTTCAAGTTAGCCATGACACGCGGAACTCCGTTTCACACCAGTCTGGTAGTGAATACGCCAGCTACCATGGATGAACTCAATGAGAGAGCCGATGGCTTTGTGCGCCTCGAAGAAGAGGAGGCAGCTAATGCTCGGACAACGTCGCTTGTGTCGACCGAGGAAAAGTCCAAGGCAAAGATCAGGCAGAAGCAGGCTCAGCCGCAACGTCAGACCACTTGGAAGGCCGAAAAAAGGTCCAGGGAGGAAGAGTTGATTACTCCGCTGAAGGTCACTCTGGCGAGGTTGTATCAGGAGAACAAGGACAAGTTTCATCCACCACTGCCAATTAGACAACCCCTCGAACAGAGGGATCAAACTAAACATTGTGCTTTTCATTCTGATTTCGGACATCAGACTAACGAATGCAGGAACCTGAGGAGGCAAGTGGAGATGTTGATAGCTAGAGGGGAGTTTGCGAGTTATGTTCAAGGCTCGGCGATGGAGCAGAATCGACCAGTGGAACAAATAAAAAGGAGTCATAAACAAAGCTCCCACAATTCGCAACCAGTTCGTATAATCAATGCTATCCATGGTCGACCCGAGCCTAGTGAAGAGCCAGATGAGCTGCTACGGGTGCGCCTGCGGCAGGCGCAGATGAAGAAAAGGGTCGGCAATGTGACCACTCTACACCAACAGAGCCCGTCAATGCAGATAAAGTTCGACTGGACAGACCTGCAGCGTGTTCAACTGCCTCATGACGACCCGTTGGTAGTCAGTTTGACAGTGGCAGAGTGCTTGGTGCGCAGAGTTCTGATCGATCCTGGGAGCAGTGCGAATGTTATGCCGAGGGACACATTTGACAGGCTCGACATTAAACCAGAGAGGCTCAAGCCCACCGGAAATCCCTTATTAGGGTTCGATGGGAAGAGGGTGGAACCCGTCGGGATGGTGGAAGTAGAAGTTCAAGCTGCAGAGCGAGCTCTTATGGAAACTTTTGTGGTTGTGGAAATTCACCCCTCGTATAATCTCCTGATGGGAAGAGGATGGATTCACAGAGTCCGAGGTGTACCCTCAACTCTGCATCAGGTCATGAGGTGCCTCGAGCCCGATGGAGATAAAGTGATAGACATTCGGGGGGATCAGGTCGCAGCCAAAGAGTGTTATTCCGTCACACTAAAGCATGCAGGGAAGGGAAAGGCGCCCGTCCGATCGACAAGCCCCAGATAGCAATTACAGGAACCTCCACTCGAGCAGAATAGGGTGGAGGAGTCAGCCGACTTGACCGAGGAGCCCCTTCTGGATGTGCAGATCGATCAGTCCAGGCCAGAACGAACTACCAGAGTGGGTATAAGACTGACCAGAGAAGAGCAGCAAGAGCTAGTGGATTTCTTATCCCACAATGTCGACGTATTTGCATGGAGTCACCTCGACATGCCTGGAATTAGTCCTTCCGTCTCCTGTCATTCCCTGAATGTCAATCCTAATTTCAAACCAGTGAAACAGAAGCAGCGAAGATTTGCTCCAGAACGTAATCAGATCATAACGGAAGAAGTTGATAGGCTGCTTGATGCGGGATTTATCAGAGAGGTGCACTACCCTGAGTGGTTGTCCAACGTCGTTGTGGTGCAGAAGAAAAATGGGAAATGGCGCGTATGCATTGATTTCACCAATTTAAACAAAGCCTGCCCGAAGGACAGTTTCCCGTTGCCTAAGATTGATCAAATGGTGGATGCCACCACGGGGTATGAGCGTTTAACCTTTCTGGACGCATATTCAGGTTATAATCAGATTCCTATGGACCCCGCAGATGAAGAAAAAACTTCTTTTGTCACCGAGCGAGGAACATACTGCTACAAGGTTATGGCTTTTGGATTAAAGAATGCGGGAGCAACTTATCAACGACTTGTCAGCAAAGTTTTTAAGAATCAAATGGGTAAGATTGTCGAAGCCTATATTGATGATATGGTGGTGAAAAGTAGGAAAAAGGATGATCATCTGAAGCATCTGCAAGAGGTATTTGATGTACTAAAGCGATATGGGATGAGGCTCAATCCGACCAAGTGCTCGTTCGGTGTGAGTTCCGGGCAGTTTCTGGGACACGTGGTCAACCGCAGGGGCATCGAAGTTAGCCCCGCTCAAGCAGAGGCTTTGATTAAGAATGCCGAGCCAAAGACGATCAGAGAGGTGCAAGCCCTAACAGGACGAATAGCTGCATTAAGTCGGTTTATTTCAAAGTTGTCAGACCACTGCAAACCATTCTTTGACACGATTCGGAGCCACGGAAGGCAGGTCTGGGGGGATGAGCAACGACAGGCATTGACTCATTTGAAGCAATATATGCAGAATCCGCCAGTCCTGTCAGCCCCAGAACCGGAAGAAAAGTTATTTCTATATCTTGGATTATCTGGTGTCGCGACGAGTGCCGTTCTGATTCGTTGCAAGGAAGGGGTGCAATACCCAGTATTTTATGTAAGCAAAACACTGATGGAGACAGAAAAAAGATACTCAAAGGCCGAACGGGTGGTACTTGCACTTGTAAATGCAAAAAGAAAGTTAAGGCATTATTTTGAATCCCACCCCATAGCTGTTCTAACAACTTTCCCAATCAGAACGCTCATGCACAATCCAGAGCTCTCGG